CAAACTCACACCACATTTCGTCGACGTAATTTCTTCGGATAGCTTCTAGCATCGATTGTGATGGCTCATTTTCTCTTTCCTTCATATACGCAGTCATCCTTACGACGATGTCTTCGTAGTCCTTTCGTGTTAGGACACCGTCGTTATCTCTATCACAGACAGTATGAAATGTTTTCATTTTTTTCTTCCAAATGTCAGATGCTTTGTTTGATGCCATTTCTGTTGCTTTGCCGACTTCGACTTCGATGAATGATGATATGGTAGATTTGCATAAATATATATGTTGAATAGGAGTGCTCATGCGCAAGCAACTATTTTTGCATGTACGAGGGCTGTCCCATAAGCCCTGGGTTAGATGCTCTAAAGCTAAAAATTTTACGTCTCACAATGATGGGGTCACTTATATTTGCTATTGCGAGCATGCTCTCAAGCTCGCAGTTGTTTACGTGAAAAAGCCGGGACACTCTACTCCAAAAGTTCTGAAACCTTTTTTCTTTACATGTTAAATAGCACTCGTTTTGGTTTTTTAAAAACAGTAAAAACTTTGCTTATTTAAAAAATGATTTTAGCAGTTTCCTGAATTTCTATTTCGATGCTCAGATAATCTAAAGACGCCTCGTGTTCTTCATGATCAATTCATCAATATTTTTGTTCGTAATTTTCCTTAAAATGTCATAGACTAGAATCATATGAAATAAACGGCTCTAAAAAGTGAAAGTACTTAGTTTAACGAGTTGGCGAGATACTTGTATCAAATTACTCCCATATATATATGTAAGAGGTTTGTGAGATTTGACATGGTGAACGGGGTGTCAAAAGGCACTAATCTGACAATTAATTAAAAGAATATTCTTTATTACTTAACTAGTTTAATATATACAGCCAGTGTTGATCACTACATTATAGGTGTGGTCCGACTTGTCATTATGCCGACTTGTCATTATGCCGACTTGTCATTATGATTGCTGGAGCTTGCCAACCAATCTAGTGTTCTTGTAAATACCTTTTACATACAGATTTTACTTTATCTGGTTTGATTAAACTTGTCGAAGTGCCCGAATAATCCCCAAATCGCAATCATCTCCCTAATAAAATAGATGTTTTAGCCATTGGTTCCGTTAATGGGATCTGTATTCTCATCTCAACCGATCGTAGTATGAAACAGCGAAATCAGAATATATCTTATTATTATATACCTCAAATGTATTTTAGATGCTCATTGGCTTATTCATGGTCACATAACATAGAATAGATGAACTAATTCCCTGGAAAGTCCTAAATCCCTGCTTTCAGGGAAGATGAATTGTACTAATCAGCAGTTGGGTCATGTGACCAGTCAATAGTACGTTTTATCTTCCCCAAATCTGCGATTATAGGAGTTGAAAGGTAAAATGCCTTTAAATGCCAGTAAGAACCTGTGAACATTTGATATTGAAATGAAAAGACTTCTCATTTTGTTTTTGTTTACAGAGTACTTATCAGGTATATAATAAAACAAATAGTGACTGCCACATTTTCGGGAAATAGTGTAAAAATTTTCCTCTCGGGAATATCCTGTCCACTGACTTGTCAGTGGACAGGATATTCCCTTGAGGAAAATATTTTGCACTATTTCCCTCAATGGCAGTCACTATTTGTACACTAATACACAACACGGTTAAATGTTGAAAAGCAGATCATCCTATAGTCGGTTCAGGATATTGGTATCATCCCTTAGTCAATATAATATATCTACCCTCGGGACCTTAATTTTCAAAATTTGGTCCAATCTTTGTTTTTAGAAGCCTAACATTTTTTCGCGCAATTTTTTCCTGACTTGAAATGTGGCCGCCCTCCCTTTTTAGCTTCTGGTTCCGCCAGTGCCATGGCAATCAAAACTATTAAGAAATAAGAGATCATTTAAAAAATGGAGGATCGTGTGAAGGAGATGTTTGCAGTGTTGTAATGAATTGTATTGATAAATAGGAAAATATAACACAAGATAAAAAAGATGTAAAACTTGATTATGAATATGTGAACTACAGGCATGTATATACGGGTGTTCCTGACACAGACTGAAAAATTGAAATTTATGCATATCTTGAAAGAAGTTCTATAACTTGTAAAGCAGGTGTTCCTTACAGAAAAGTTTTTTCTAAGTCAAGTTTCACTGTATATGTAATTAATTGCCAAGCTTACTTTTAACGCGGTTGTAATTTACCGAACGGCAAAAGTAGAAAAAATCCGAACATTTTGAACTGATTAAGATCTTTAAATTATGAAGGTCTGAGTACCTGGACCTCTTAGAAAACATCCAAACATATCAAGGAGTGACGATGGGTCAATTTGATTCTCGTTCTCCGAAGATATTAACAAAATAGTTAAATGTTCGGAGTTTTTTTAATGCTGTAAATTGTTCACAATTCTAAATCAAGAAGTCGCTCGTATTTCTGTCGTATTTAGGAAATCACGTTGCCGAAAATCAGTGCACAGTGTTCATGGTGTTGTTGTAAAATTGCGTATATGTCGTTTGAAACTAACACTAAACTAACACCTTGGCTAGGGTTAAACTTTTGCTCGAGGAATTAACTCATTTTCATCAATAAATATTAACCCATCAGGTTTTCTACTAGTAATTAAACTAACGTTTAAACCTCAGTCAATTGTCGTTATCACTTACTCTTAAACCCAAGTGAGATATTAGTCCATGGTATGAAATCTCTAGGACGTCTAATAAAGGAGCTGGTAGCACACTATAGCGCAGCGATATTTGACCTTACATTTACATACCTACATATGTTCCCTAATAATTTTTATTATAACCGTTCAATATACTTCCGGCTTTTAGGCTGAATTATGCCTGCCATTAACAGAGGTCAAAAAATCACCAAAAAATAAAATCCCAATTTTTCACAATTTGGAGTACACAATGCAACAGAAAATAATACAAAATGATTTTCAAAATATGATTTAGGTTTCTAAGCTATAAGTTTGAGGTTATTTTTTCTTATCAATACCAAAAAATATGCAATCAGTGTATCGACGTTTTGTATTGTTTCTCAGGTATTGATAAGATAAATGCTACAAATGAATAGCTTTTACATTGGAATGACAAATGCTTAAATTATGCTAGTTTTTCACAAAATGGTTCTCAATACATTTTGAGATATGGACTTTTATTCAGCGGTGAAAATTATCAATAAAGGAGCGCCTATTGCTCTTCCTTGACTTATTGGGACTACAGCTAAAATTCTATTTCCCGTAGTTAGATATAGCTCAGTTGCTTATAAAACAACCATCAAGACTTGGTCGAATTCATGAATAATTGAGTAAAATCGTTATCATTATCTTCCTGAAATTTGATTGTATCCAGCGGTAAGGTCAAAGAAGAAACAGCCGTCAGAAAACTTGATGACAGCCACAAGTAACGTCGAGGAAGAATTGTAAGGCGTTCGATTGCATATGACTCTAATTGATTATTAGACATGCCTTTGGAATATATGAACATTCCAATACCTCTGAAACATTTAATTAGATATAAATCTAACCTATTTGTTATTGTATTATGTTTTATAAAACATGAACAATAATTTGTTGTTAGACCCCTTGCGATTATATGGAAAAATTCTGGTAATAAAATGTTTTAAATGGTAAGAAAACTAATATGTTCCCAATCATAAATTACCTAAATATTCCACACAATTTTGTTGGATCGGCTTATAAAATGTATAAAAGTTCGAATCAAAATATTTATGTTTTTTGACCCCTTGTATTGAAAGACATTTTTCGACCCGAAAGCCGGAAGTTTTTTCAGCAAATGGTATTTTAAAAGAATCAAGACATGTACACCTTCATAAATATTGCTTCAAATGTTGCTGCACTATAGTGTGCTACGGATCCTTCGTATTCGGAAGTCATACCATGGACTATATGGCTCTTGCCTCAGCACGAGCCAAAAAAGGTAACCTCTTCCTATGTATTAGGATAAGAATGTAGGCTACACTATGCATTGGCGTAGATTATTTAAGGATTTAAGCCCTGGACTCAGTGCATTGTGGACTGATTGCCATTCTTCTAAGGTGTTGTTTCAAACTTAACGCGTGATGCGTAGTATCGAGTGCTAAGTTAAGGAAACAACGCATTAGTGGAATGAATCAGTAGCAATGCACTGGCGGGCTTTAATTCTCTCTAAACAATATGCAAACTATTTTATACGATATCACTTAAAAGATGCGAATGTATTTCAAAGAATTTTTTCAAGGGTCCACTCGTCACATTGACAACCATTCAGCACTTACATGTACCATATTGGACCTGCAAAAGAACCTGGCTTGTATATCCTAACTAACTATTCACGGATGTTTACTCAACTATGAAACAGAGGAGTTTCACATTTTACCTTTAATGACTTACTTTTCTTTCTTTTTAATAGCATATTTGAATTCAGTGATATGTTACCTACAATAATAGCTTTGATTTACACATTTATGTCATTTAAATCATTCTCCATGACATTTTTAAAAAACTTGGGCCAAATCTCCATTGATGTTATGCTAAAATTCTTTAAAGCCATGGTTTAACCGTATGACAACCAACATTTTCATGTTTTATCACAATATGTTCATTGACAGGGTCATTTAATAGTATGCCATTCAAATTTCAGACAGATTTAACTAACACTCTTTGATAAATCATGAAATTAAGTGACTATTGCAAGCTTTTAGCATAGAACTCAATGGAAGGTTGGCCCAAGATGAACAAAGGTGACATCTATTATGTCAGCTTTATTCAGCTTTATTTAGCTATTTAGAAACTATACTATTGATCAGCGCTATCGGTTTCATTAGTTTGACTAGAATCTAAAAATGACCCTGGGTGGGTTTTTGGTAATATAATGCAATGCAGTTTATGAAATAGCGTGTTCTGATTGGCTGGAATTTGCCACGCCTTGCCTACAGCTATGCTTGAATGCATATCAATTTCACAAACAAAATTCTAATCTCATAGTATATTTTATTCAGGGAAATGTTTGGAAGGATGGCAGGAGCTGAACGAGAACTGCTATAAGACCTACGGGTTGGACAGAGATATAAACACATGGCCAGAAGCTCAACACACCTGCCATGGCCAGAAAGCAGGACTACTCAAACTCGAGAGGTAGCACAACCTTATAAATATCATATGTATTTTAGACTAGGCTAATTCTTTTTAAATTAGTCATAACCCATTTTATTTGTCTTTCTTTTTGTTGTACATTGTCACAAAAATCCGTTCAATAAATTCAGAGGAAAGAGAGGTTTGGTAAGACAGGTGTGATAAATCTACGTTTTTCAAATTAGCATTTCGAATGATCGCTGGGCGAGGGCAATGTCTGGGTTAGGGTGCTTATATTAAGGTCTCATGGAAGTTAACAGGAAATGACAAAACAAAAAATGACAAAGCCATGCTGGATTTTGAAAATTTTTTGAACCAAGATAACAGAGTTCTGTTTGGACCTCCAGTCAGTTTAACTAGTTCCAAATATCATTTACATGACCAGGAACACAATTGAAATGGTCAGAATGACCATAAACATGATAAAATAACCTTTTTAGCCCTCTGAAAATGTGACTGAAAAATAGCTAAAAGTAGGTGCTCAGGAAAGGTCAATGAACAGAATCTTTTGATTTTTTCAGAAAATGTGTCCAATATATTGCTCTAAATGACACAATCTTTGAAATTTTAAAAAATTGTCTGAAACAATAATGGCTGTAGTAAAAAGGAAAATAGATCGATTTTCAATTCAGTTTTTTTCAATTTTTTCTCTTTCTAAGAATGATATCAAATTTTTTTGAATTGTATCATTTAGAGCAATATATTGGGCACATTTTCTGAAAAAGTCAAAATATTCTGTTCAGTGACCTTTCCTGAGCACCTACTCTTAGCTATTTTTTAGTCACATTTTCAGAGGGCTGAAAAGGTTATTCTATCATGTTTATGGTCATTCTGACCATTTCAACTGTGTTCCCGGTCATGTAAATGATATGTGGAACTAGTTAAACTGACTGGAGGTCCAAACAGAACTCTGTTATCTTGGTTCAAAAATTTTTCAAAATCCAGCATGGCTTTGTCATTTTTTGTTTTGTCATTTCCTGTTAACTTCCATGAGACCTTAAAAGAATGACTCCCTGCATAAACCGGCAATCTCATATTTACTCTCGTATTGCTCATTTAATTTCACCAGCCCACAGGAAAATGCTGTCATCGTGGAGAAAGTTTTTCCCACCCTAAAGGACAACGAGATAGAATCTATTTGGCTTGGTCTATCTGATCGTGACATTGATGGTTCCTTTGTATGGTGGGACAAGAACCCTGTGTTGATACCTAACTGGGGTAAAAATCAGCCTAGAAACACCGCAAAGGCAATGGACTGTGGAAGCATGCAGACAGGTTTGTTTCTATTACCATCTTTCCAAAGTCAGGAGGTGGAAACGCCTCGAGTATACGTATTTTCAAGGCGAGGAGTACACAGGAAATGCATTATACAAATCGCCATTAATATTTTTATTAAAAAAATAGGTAGGTGTAGTTTATTTTTTCGTCTATGAACGTACTTTTAATACGTTCTCACTTACCAATAGGCTCATCACATTCCCAATACATTGGGGAAACATTCCTTTAACACAAATCAAAATATTACAAAATCAAAATATTTCTTTGGTTAATCCCAATAGAAAATAGATGGGTAGCTGTCAATTTATCACAATGGAATGTTTTCCCGAAGTACTGGCAACGTGATGATCGCTTAGGCAGGTGAGGAATCACTATAAAACGTTCACAAACTACAGTAACACCTATATTTACCTGCTTTTCGAATGAAAATACTCTACGCGTTTCCACCACCAGAAAGTATAATATGAAGTTATCGATTCGAATTTACTTCTCCATTTCCATATCATTTAAGGAAGTTGTTTACTTGCAAGAGGTTAGGTAGCCTCATGCTAAAAGCATTTGACGAGTACGAATGTTCAGCCTTTGGACATCGCGATATCACACTTTTTAACATATAACTAATTATAATTGATACATTATTTTGATGGATGGGCGAGTGACGTGACCTACATGTTGACTGATCGCACTTGCGCGCCACCCGTATCAGGAATCGAATCACGCGAAACACCATTTTACCTAGTAATGACATTTTTACATCCCACGTCTGACACAAAACTTCATACCTGTGCATGTATATATTGAGCTGTTTTCTTGATGTATTTTTCATAACCAGGTGATGCCACTGGGAAATGGACTACCTCTTACTGCTTTACAAAGAAAGCTTTTGTTTGTGAACATCCAATTTGGATAGCTCCAGATCCAAAAGAACCACCAAGTACGTCTAATAAAACATTTCCCTCTTAATTTGAAAATGCAAATGATTTAATCGTTTCCTCCTTTTTATGTTTTGATTGTTACCTGTAAATACCAAATTCTGGAATGGTAATTTGAGGTTTTCACTTCAGAGAAATGGCAAAGAGCAGTGTGTAACTGTAGTAACATTTATACATTATAAATTGAATCAGAGTTGATTATATATATATTACGCATTCAAGACTTGTCCTGAATTGAAAGAAATTACCTTTCAACTGTACTCTCACTAGCATTTTGTCTTATAACATTGAATGTTTATACTTAAACAGCGCTTTGCAAGAAGAACACGATGGGACAGGACTGGAATGGTGAATTAGCAAAGACAAGATCCGGCAGAACTTGCCAAAGGTAAAGTATCAGTTTGATGAAGATAACTCTCGCAATCCTTTCCAATATGAATCACATTAAAACCCTAGAGTAAACAATCATTCCTCGGACCCTTGTTTACTCAACAACATGTATAGATAAAGCTTTGGAATTATTTTCATATTTCTTGGTTATATCTGCATTTGAGCAATTATCTATAGATGGGATTCCCAAGAGCCCCACAAACACACGAGGAATAACCCAGCTAACTTCCCTGATGCCGACCTTGCCACTGCTGCTAACAAATGTCGCAATCCTGATCGTACACCGTATGGACCGTGGTGTTACACGAATGACCCGAAAACAAGATGGGAGTACTGTGATATACCATTTTGTCATGGTAATGAATTGTGATACGATAATACTCTCTTGGTATCGTTGTATAGCCACATCGCACCTGGACCTGGCATTTAGTCGTTTTGATATGTTTTTTTTGTGATATGGATATATTTAGAACGCATGCGTAGAAAAGGGTCCAATAGTCGACATGCAGTAGTCGGCTTCGTTTCAGCAAATCTGTGGCAACAACACTCGACAACAACACAATTCAACAACAGTTTCGCTCTAAGTGCTGATGTTGCTTTTTACAATTTGTTTATTAAATCACTCGTATGATATCCGAATGATATAACACATACACTGTACTCTATATACTTTCTAATAATCTATGCTGTTCCTCTTTCTCAGATATCTACAGGTGTGAGGACGGCTGGGAGCAGTACGAGACTTCTTGTTTCTACTTCGGGGATGATAGGATGCGTTGGAGTCAGGCCAGGTCACAATGTCAGAATATGAACGCTGACCTAGCTACCATTAACACAGAGGACGAACAGTCTTTTATTTCTAGTTAGTACATAGAGTCAGAAAACCAAACCAAATTAATATGAAATCTCAAAATAAGGCAATGGTTCCTAAACACAAAAACAAAAAATGGTTCACAAACATTAATAAAACATGCAATTTTATGAGTTACATAACAGCATATACGTCACCACATGGTGCTCACGCATCAAATGTGTGTATCCATTAATATTCCGTATGATTTCGAATTCTTACAGAAATTGTACCATGGCGTGGATGGATAGGCCTCAGGGATACCATCGAACAGGGAAAATATTATTGGGTCGACGGTTCTCCGGTAAGAGACGAATGCCTTGTATCAAATATATAGTCAAACTAATTTATAATTATAACTCAATTTTTCTTGATTTTCTGTTTTTTGTTGAATGATCCCATGACACCTGGCCATTATGGAATTTATTTTGTATCAAAATTGTACAATACAAAATCCATGTGAAAAGTGAAACCATATGATGCGACACTCGAACTATATAATTTGGAACTGGCATCATCATATGCAACTTGGAAACCAATTCAAAGTGTGATTTTACTCACATAGTGTGGGCAAACTCGAACAAAGCGTGTATGAAATCACACGGATTGTGTTTGTATTCTGCTAGACGCTATTCAGTGTGTTAGAGATATCACATTAATATATTAAGATGTCGAATTTTGATACAATTTAAACACCATAGGCCATATCGAAACTATATTTTAATGTATATTTACGCCTTCACAGCTTAACTACACAAACTGGATGCGTGGAGAACCGAATAATTATTACCCCGGCGAGGACTGTGTTGAGGTACACGGCCCTGGGGAGTATCCCTGGGGTGGGGGTTTCTACCCAGGGGCTTGGAATGATGACGTATGCGAGGGGAGAAATAAAAGTTTCATCTGCAGAAAACCAGCAAGTAAGCATCCAAAAGTTGTGAAACATTGTCTCCAGGTTTTTGTGACACCGTCCTGAGGTTGGCAGTCGGTGTATGTAACAAATGGCAGATGGTGACATCTAGCATTTCAATGTCTTGTTCACATAAAGTCTTCACATAATTCTCTCAAATGAGTTGAGATGCACATCGACCATAGAATTGAAAAAGCGTAATATTATTACCACCTTGCCAGACCTGTTCTAAGGGTTTTAGTGCTAGTTTAGAAGGCATTTATTTTACCATATCGTTCACAATATTGCCCCCAGAATTAAGAAATGACGTTATTGTACTATTGATCATCGGATACGATTGTGATCTTCTCGGATTTTATATCTGAACAATAATATAGTTCCACATTTCTGTTTGATTTTGAATAATGATATTTTACTCTTTCAGTTCCATATGATCCACCACCCACAACCAAGCCAGTGACAAGTAAGCATACGCATTACAAATGATGTCGATATAATATAGTTCAAGGCCCCATAGAAAGTTTGAAAACATTGTTTTAACAAAAATGAAGAATGAAACATTCTTTTCTACACTCCATTAATTAGATATATAAAAGTTACGTTATTGCATACATAAGACCATTGTTTAGTATCCATGTATTCTACTTGTACATTCTTTCTGTCCAGGAATTTTTCTAAAAGTTCAAAGAAAAAAAAGCGTCCTAAACATAATTTAAACAGTGATTATGCACGACGGAGCAATAGCTGCTAAATACAATCAGTCAAGTATCTTCACAATCGTAAATAACTTTATTTGGAAAATTATTTATTTTTAGAACCATTTTCACGTCGATGTGGACCAGAGTGGAAATATGACAGTGTTGGAAACATGTGCTACCAAATTGTGGATAAACCGTCAAACTGGGTGACTGGAAGAGCGGACTGTCTGGCTAAAGGGGGAGAATTGGCTAGTATACACGGACCACACGAACAGGCTTATGTTGGAGGTTTGTATTTAAAGAATGGTCTCTGATTTTCTGCTTGTATATGGAGGGATCATTCAGGATTTGATAAGATTGGAGAAACTCTATAATGTGGAATATACAACCAGTCATGATTCATCATATAATGAATTTAGTTTGATGACATTATGCCATTTATTTCAGCATTATTAGCAAGTTCGTATGGACACGGTCGATTGCGATTCTGGTTCGGTGGTAACGATCGTGATCTGGAGGGAGGGTATGCTTGGAGTGATGGGACTCCCTTCAATTATGTCCATTGGAAGCCTGGTAACCCTAGTAACTCAGGTGGGAGGGAGCATTGTGTCGAGATACAGGCTAATGACGGTAGATGGAATGACAACAATTGTGCTAAAAAGATGCCGTACATTTGCAAAAAGTTCGGTAAGTGGTAGCTAAATGGTAACTCAATGAACCTCAAAAATAAGGCAAGAACTCGACAGTATGTGACGAATTTCCATTATTTTTTGTATCTCTGCATGGTATGGATGTTCGTCTTGGTCTCGTTGTTTTTACCGTTGTCTGAAAAGCCAGTAGGTTACTCATATGGTCTCTGTTATCATTAGCCAAATGATGAGACGCATCCCAAATAACATCATAATTTGATTCATTTACTCTTTGATAATATTTCAGCGAAGGGGTCAACAACGCTGCCACCACCTGTCACGCCTACAGCAGCACGTAAGTCACGTTTACGATACCCATCCTCGCAATGTTGTCCCTAAATACAAGGAGCACTTCGTCTTTATTTGATAGCCTTCACAATAAATGTCTTAACTTTGCAAACCACATTCAGAAATATGCATTTATATTCTATTGCCCAGCTGATTGTGTTGCTGATGCGATGATATCTGGAAAACACAACATACAGGATGAGCTTCTAAAGGCTTCGTCAATATGGGACAACGAGCATGGACCTTGGAACTCTAGACTAGACTTTCAAAGACAAAGTAGGATCAATTGTTTTATGTATGGTATTTCCGTCCTATTTAATAATAGGCATTGTGTATGCATTTTTCATTACATATATGGAAAGAGATTAGACAAGAATCCAAGCAATGCAACCAAATGTGTTAAGATAACTCAGATACGCGCAAATAAAGTTGAATAAAAATGGACAAGTAACATTCATGCAAACATAGACTACAGCTTATAATTTTTCCATTCCTTATTTTCGATGTTACTTAAATATCAAAATATTACCAAAAGGCGTCATTTATCAATGTTGCATTATAGCGAAATGTGTGTGGAAACTTCTCATCGGTATAGCTATCAATGGACAGAACGACAAGGTGTACGATAATGTCCAGTTGGAGCAATGTAAACAATACTGCACACTAGACCCCGCTTGCAAGAGCATAGAATACTGGGTCGGAGGCTCAAACAGAATGAGATGTTCAATATCCAAGTACAACTCAGACACGGCACCACCGAATCTTGTTCACAAAAACCCTGCAATAGATCTCTATGAAAAACACTGTGGTAAAGTCCATTATTAGTTAATCGAACACACATTTAGAATGATTGTTCTTCCTGACAAAAAGTCTTAACTATTGCCACGACACCCATGAGCGTCAATTTTTTCTATATATTACTGACATTTTAGTGTACCTCCCGGGGTATTAGGGATTGCTTGTTTAATTTCTTGCAGGTGACATGAGAGGAAGTTGGGTGCCACATCTGTCTGACCATAATGCAGCTCAATGGATTGAAGCAGATTTTATCCTTCCAATGCTGGTGAAAGGGGTTATTACCCAAGGTCGTCAAGATGAACAGCAATGGGTGACAAAATATAGAATCTCCTGGAAGTATGATAATACGTACAACTTCCAATGGTATGAGGAACCTGTAGGTAATGCTAAGGTAATTAAATAAATGGTTAACATTCATCTGAAAATAATAGTTAACCACCTAAATTGGTTACAGAAGATATATAGTAAGTAACACCATATGTGTTTGAAACGAACCATATTTCAAGACGTATGGCATTATTACACCACTTGAGATGTCTTGAGAGATCACCATGTTATTTGTTTCTAATTTTGGATTTTCAGTTGTTTGATGGTAACACTGACCAGCAGACCAAAGTGTCTCATACGTTCAAATACCCAGTAACTGCTCGTAGAATCCGTCTTCACCCGACAGAGTGGTTCAACTTCATTGCACTGAGATGGGAGGTGATGGGCTGTATTGCTAGTATGTATTGACTTAATTACAATTCATTTCTCAGTCACATAAGTATAAACTTAACTTTTGAAAACGTCAAGCTGTTGGTTGGTTGGGGCTGGTTGAATTAGTTGGTTGGGGTTGGTTTCAGCTAGTTGGTCAGTCGGTTGGAGTTGGTTGATTGGTTGGTTGCCTTAATGAAGGAGTGACATCAACTATATCCCTAGCTACATCCTCTCATCTAATTTTCATTGCTTCTAAATTCCCAGATGCAACATATCTTCATTATTCTTATACATAGACTGTTATTGCTCAGTGTATAATATACACCAGCTTACAACTATCAAAAGTCAATGCAACAATTTGCATTGTAATTTTTTTATAAGCTTCTAATACTAGTAACTAGTAAACACAAATTCTTTGAATTTTTAGAGGAATGCACGTCTGAGCGTTTGGTAACTGGGCCTAGTATTGTTCCTGATGAGAGTTTAACAGCGTCCTCTATGTGGGATGCCCTGCACAGTCCAGCTCAGGGAAGACTTGACACAGTCAGGTGAGAATTGGTTTGAAAGTTCTCAATACAATCAACATTGGTTAATCATTTTAATTGTAATGACATTGTGCGTGTCTTTTATAATCATCAATTAGCAAAATAATATTATTAGTCTTACACGGTAACGGGTCAAGACTAAAATCGACAATCACAGCTTTATTGCTGTAAAACGTTAGCTGGATCTGATAGAGATATAGAACTTTTAAATTCTGTGGTACCATATATTTCTATAGAGTCGGTGAATTGCGTGGGGCATGGGTGGCAGGCGAGCCATATCATGACCAGGTGCAGTACATACAAGCTGATTTTGGACTGAACATGCGAATTACAGGTGAATATGAACCATAGGTCCATTGGATTGTGATTTCTGATTTCGCTAAATAGAGATGAAACGGGATGTGAAGAGATATTTGTAGTTTGATAACTGGTTGGGTAAATCAATTGTCAAAACTTTTCTAGGCATCATTACTCAGGGACGGGACGACCTCGACCAATGGGTAACATCATACAAGGTCTACTATAGCGTCGATAATGCAAACTTTCACGAGTATCAGTCACCATATAACAACCCAGTGGTACGTATGTTTCATAATGAAATTGCATTAAAACATACCACAAATACCTGTGGAGTACTAGTGTGCATTAAGGAACTCTGAACACCGAACACCGAACACCGAATGCCAACCACCGAACACCGTCCACAAAAAGTTGTTATGTCACCACTTGTGGTGTTGACATAAAAAAACAGAGAAACATCTTCACAACTACAATTCGCTGTATTTTCATTATGTAGGTTTTCCAAGGTAATTCTGACAGACGTACACTGGTTACAAACATGTTAGATTCTCCATTCTGGGCAAGGTATGTTCGAGTGAATCCATTGACCTGGAATGCCCACATCGCCATGAGGTTTGACGTACTTGGATGTCTATCAGGTTAGAATACTGAGTTCCCTGTTAAACTCTGAAATTGTATTTCTTGTGATTTTCATGTAATTAATCAATTGCTGATAATGTTGCAAAACCTAGGCAATCATACTGTATTGAAATGAAAAAATTCTAAATGTATGTTTAGCCATGGCTTCTTTGGTTTAACGTATTTCTTCATACAATGCCATAACAATGAGAAATGATTACCCTAGGAAAGTGATAAACATTTCCAAATTCATGTATATGTTCATTTTTCTTATCCCGAAGGCTGTCAACCAGCGGCACTGATTGACGGACCAAATCCTGTAGACGACCACCAGCTTACTGCAGCCTCTGTGTTTGACAGCAACCATGGCGCACACAGGTCGAGGTTGAGTGCTGTCAGAGTGGGTGAACTCAGGGGTGCATGGTCGGCAAAATACAATGACAAGAATCAATACATACAGGTGGGACAGCATATGTAAAACGCAGCATAAAAAGCATACATGTACACAAAAATGCTTTGAAAATAGCTTTGAAATACTAGTAAAGAACAGAGGGTTGACATTAGGGAGAATAGGCAAAACAAGTCAAAAAACAACTTAAGAACACAAACCAATCAAACAAATTCAAGTGACACAAAAGTATCAACCAAATTATTACTTTATCCACGTAGGTCGATCTTTTGACCAATATCCACATTCGAGCCATTGGTACCAAAGGTCGTGATGACACTCTCCAATGGGTCACGAAGTATAACCTCTACTACAAACTACATGGTGGCGTGGGAGATATGCAGATGTATTATGAAGATGGGACGCCAAAGGTAATATTTCATAACATTAAATCATAGTTTCGTAACTACCGCGAATGTACCATTTTCTTGGTTTAAGGATTTAAGCACTGAACTCAATGCTTTGCTTGTGATATATTTTACAAACGAAGCATTGATTTCAGTGCTTAAATCCGTTTCACACAATGCAAAACAGTTTTATACAAGGCATGAACATGCAAAATATAACCATCTGCCATTTGTTACAGACTCTGATCATCTACCACCGTCAACAAAAAAGTTGGAGACCATAACAATATGTCACCATTTCTGGTGGTGTATGGATTTTATTCTAATGAAAGATCGTGTGTGTTGCCCAATTTGGTCTGTTTTAGCGAGAAATAAAACTTATTAATATTGCACAATTATCTTAAGTGTATTTTTCATCTTTGGTAGGTATTTGAGGGTAACTATGAGAATAGGCAGTTGAGGAAACAATATTTAGCAAACCCATTCTCAGCGCAGATAATTAGGTTATGGGCATTGGGATGGAGTGGTCACATTTCTATGAGATGGGAAGTCTATGGCTGTCCAGGTAAGAATATGCATGTAATATTTCTATTTAATATATAGTGCAGTAGAGTGTAAATCTTTGCAGAATTAGACCGAAATATAGATTCATTCATTATGACACATGTAAAGTTCTGTCAGTATTCCAAACATCTATCCAAATAAATGAAATACATGCTTTGTTTGATTATGTACATGTGCTGTACAAATGGTTTGTTATCCAGATTCTAGTGTAACAGCACCAGTTGGATGTTTTGGTGACAACCCCGAGAATAGAGATTTGCCATATACCCCCATATTCTGGCCGAACGGAGCTACTGCGAGAGGATGTATTAACCATTGCTTCAGAAATGTAGGCTTATATATAAAATATATAATAGGATTTTATTAGTACTGATGCCTTTTTAGGGCAAAACGTACATCCAATATACAATTTTCAATTTTGATGTAGGCTTATGATATGATATGTCATAAACATTTCCATCTTTCATTGTGTTTAACGCTTCAATATGTTTTGTTTAATAAATGTTATCGTCACTGCATGGTATTGTCAATGTTGCATACTTTTCAGCTATATACATTTTCGATTCATTCTTTTTATGAACATTATTTTCAGGGATACATTTTCGGAGGTATACAGAATGGGAAACGCTGCTTTTGTGGTAACTCTTACGGTAAACATGGGCCTAGTTCCGACTGCAATATACTATGTCCAGGTGATCCCGAACAGAACTGTGGCGGTGTGAACGCTAATATGGTATATGGAACAGGCTTAGGTAATACTAACGTCATTCACGAATTAATAGAGTATAACAACTTTATCATGAGTTTCTTTTTAATTTGCAAAACACAAAAAATGTAAGAGCGGATTTCAAGCAGACCAAGATTGAAGTCCTGGCTAGTCACTATTTTTTGTTTTTAAGAAACTCGGTGATGAATGATTTTGACTTTTACACGTTGACTGTTTTTCAGCACCAACAACTTTGAGGTGTAGGGATGGTTATACTGCATATGGAAACAACTGTTACAAAGTGGTCGTAAGACCAAGGGTACCATGGACAGATGCCCAGTCTGCTTGTAGGAATGACGAAGGAGATCTTGCAACTTTGAACAGCGAGGCAGAAAATGACTTTGCCCTTGGCCTCATTAAAAGCTGTATGTTAAGCATCATCTCTAACTTCAACTTGGTTATTAGTTATTTTGATAATATTTTCTACATCTATGGGATGAAAAGAGGAGCACACATTAAATATCATTATGTACCTTTTTCTAGATCACGGTGGAAGGGTGCCATTTACATGGATTGGACTTAGTGAGCTTAGATTTGAGAATTTGTATGAATGGTCAGATGGTCAACCTGTGCTTTTCACCAAATGGAATCCTGGTGAACCGAACGATGCCAATAAACAAGAGAAATGTGTCCATATGTATGCAGTAAGTATGCAAATCAATTGACAAATACTTAAAATATTTTTCCAAACTATCAACTCATTCATTTCATCTTTGTGTTTCAATGTGAATGGTGTTCACAAACATTACAATTCAATTTGCTTATTCAGTTTAGGAGAACAAGCAAATTGCATGCAATTTCAGTAAAAGAAAAAAAATTTGAATTAAAATTTCTAAGGATAAGAGGACTTGTATAGATATTCATTTCGTTTTAGAATAGTAGATGGAATGACAGAAAATGTGAATCAAAATTGCAATACATGTGTATGACTCAAAAGGAAGAAATAGCTGGTCCAGTTACCCCAGACCCATCTTGTCCCTTAGTAAGTACAATATTCATTCATTTACTCGATCAGTTATCTTTAATATTTACCAAATATTAATGAACTTTGTATTGTCACGCTGGAGATTTACATTTTGTGGCAGCGGACTTGGATTACATGAAGTACCCGGATGAAATACAGTACGCATGCTTTTGTTTATCATAAATTACAAATATTTGATTCACAATACAGGGATGGAAACGATATGGTAACTCGTGCTATGCGTTCATGACAACTCCTAGAACTTGGGAACAGGGGAAGTCTGCCTGCTCTGGATTCGGAGGAACGATGGTACGAATCGATGATAGGTGAGTGTCAATCTTGATTGGCATATCTGGAAGATGATTGAGACATTCATGCATTATAAGACGACATTACACTAACTATATTGGTTAGAACATCAAACTAATTTGCATTCCAGTTCAGAACAAGCATTTGTGGCCTCTCAGTTGGGCTTGGTGGAGAAGGGGACGCTATGGACAGATCTTAGTGATCAGGCGTCTCCCGGGACATATGCCTGGAGTAATGGCAACACGTTTGTAGCTCTTACACATTGGGCAGAAGGTCATCCAGGTAATAACAACTTAGATAACTTTGTGAATAATAAAGTACAACCACATTAAGCCTGATCATTGTAGCGCATTTTCAGTACCCAAGCATACGGCTTTTCAAAGCAAATATTAGGCTGATACTAAGACTAATGCAGTTTATCTTACGTAGAATGAATATATTTTAGTTTGTACTTCTAATATTAGACGAATTGGTTTAACTTTGTATTTCTAGTGTTAGGCACACTGGTTGTCCTTTCTATTCTACTGTTAGACACAAATCTATATATATCTAGTAGGACAGTGCTGAAGATTATGTTAAATTCTTAGAAATGGAATGATTAACATTGTATTTGTTTCAGATGATACCAAAGGACAATGTGTTTCCATGGGTACGGGTCAGCTAGCTGGTCTATGGTATGGTACACCGTGCGATAAAACCAATGGCGTTATTTGTGAGATCACGTGTTCTGATTGCGTCACTCCTCCAACCCTGACACCAGACCCAGGCGGCCTTGGACCTTGTGCGCCCGGATGGATAGAATTTGGTAGCAATTGCTTTGAGGTCAGTTTGTACCCTTTGCATTCGTTCGTCTTCACTTATTAAAAGAGAGCTTTGTCTTTAGGTAGTTTATAACTAGACTCTGCGCGCAGTGTAGTCGGTTTGTGATATATCTCTGAATTTAAATAAAAAAATGTACAAGTAACTATAGCATCTGTAAAGATTATGTTTCTCATATTTTCCTTAGGTGAACAATGAAAGGGCAAATTTAAGGGCACCATGGTATGACGCCAGGCAGAATTGTGTTCTGAAAGGAGGTGACTTAGCAAGTTTCCACAGTGAGGACGAGTTCAAATACGTTTTTAAGATGGGAATACTGTAAGTAATCAACAGTGATACCTTGTATATGTTGGATGAATCGAATCTGAATTGCCCAGATCAATATTTGTTAAGCTCTGATGTCCTGGGACTAATGGATCTACATTCAATGTTCAATAATGTTCATTCAATAGTTGAATAGAATCTGAAAATCACTTGGTCCCATTTTTTCTAAAACAGCGGTCTATTATATGCAAAATGAGTCAAATAATATCCATTTGTGCGCCCGCCGAGATAAACACCAAAATTTCACTTTGACCCAAAATAATTTTATGGTGTGATGGTGACACGTACACGACACGCAATATCAAGTCAACTTGCAGATATCCTCATTATACATAAATATCTTCTCATATAGGTATAACATTATATTATTATATTATGGGTGAAGTAATCCTTATTTCCTTATATTTTCAAAGGGAGCAAAATCTTGGTTCTCTGTGGATCGGGCTGAACAACAGAGCAACGGGGCAGGGCCACGTATGGAGTGACGGGTCATCAGTTGCCTATACTAATTGGAACACTAATGAACCTAATAACCATGGAGGAAAGGAAAATTGTGCAGAGGTTTATTTTTATCTAAATATTTTCGTTAGTCGAAAGTTCTACCAATTCATGGTTCACTAAAGGTCATGGATCATGTACTTATATTGATTTGAGAAAATGAAACCCCCCAAATATGTTCATTCTTAAACCCACCAAGTTCCCAAAAACCCTATAAAAACATAGATCAACAGAGAGAGGCGTGACAGTTCATGGAAGTAGACATGATGCATCAGTTTAACGCGTATTTCAGGTATACAGCGGAAATGGTCTCTGGAACGATAATGACTGTAACAAGGGGAGGCATTGGATTTGTAAAATAAGAAAGGGACAACAGGTCATGTCAACTACACTACCAGCCATACCATCACCAGGACCCCGTAAGCATATTTAGGACTAATGCGTTCGATCAAAAAATCATGCTCAATATCGCGTGAATGTGTACCCATATCCAGAACTGCATCCTTGGGAGAAATGTTTGACATCGTAACATGAACATTACACGCAAATGATACTTCTATTTGCTCATGCTATTTTAGCTGGCAGTTGTTCACCAGATAACGATGACTGGAAGAGTTATAATGGTAAATGCTACTACGTTGGCAAAGGGGGTGATGATGAGACGTTGTCCTGGTTCGCTGCAGACCAGTTCTGCCATGACAATGGAGGTTATCTGGCATCAGTTCACTCTGACGATGATAACAATTTCATATGGGGTCTGGTATGAAACTTAGCATAATTTCTCTTGTAAATTTACTATATTGACATCACATTCACATGAAAAACACCCGTAGAAGAATTCGTTGATTACCAAGGTGATATGTTAATCTTTATGTGGATATTGCGTTTTTATGTTCAATTTTTTTTGACGGAGTTCTAGTGGAGACTAAACTTGTATTCGCAAATGTAAATAGTGGCTGTTGGCTACCGGATTAACCTACTTTTTATGGCAAGCTCATTTAAATATGAATAGAATAGTCATAGTTAAATGAATTGGTCACATAATAGTAAGTTAATCCGGGAGCCGACAGCCGAATGTTGCATTCGCGAATACAAGCTAAGTTAAAAAAAATGATGCTATTGTATTAGGAAATATCAATTTAATTTTTTCTTGACTTTGAAAGTTTGCTCACTTGCATATATTTTGGAATTTTTAGGTGAAGGACAGCGCCATAGATAAATATTTTATTGGCCTGAATGAACTCGATCAAGACAAAGGATATGTGTAAGTATTGTTACAAATCGTTATTTTATATTGTTATTTCATCCTTCCGACCCGTATCTTACTATATTTCATAACATCATATCAGATGCAAGAAAACAAAAAGATATTACAATGTATTCATATTCTACCAAACTTCAACAGATGGACGGATGGCACCCCGGGCGATTACCTCAACTGGGCCCCAAACGAACCAAATGATGCCGGAGGGTCAGAGAGATGTGTCTCTATGTATGTAAGAACTGGTAAGGACATCGAATTGTGAAAACACGTCAACTTCAAAAACGTTATCAGCGTTTGTATCTTTCAAAACCTGCTTGTTTGACTTTTTAAATGCATATTTGACGATTTGACATAATTTTAGCCCAATGGAATGATGATCATTGTACCACCGAACGTCCGTTTATCTGTATGAAGAAGCAGGGTGGTGGAACGTTCCCTCCTAGAACAATCCCTCCACCTCTACCCGGCAATTGCCCAAAGATGTTCAAACCTTTCGGCAACAAATGCTTCATGTTCGTCGATCCACCCAAAGAAGGACGATTAAATGCCACTCAGGCTCGAGATCAATGCAGAGCATATGGGGCGAACTATGATCTAGCCTCAATAACAAACGAAAGGGAAGCAGGTATTTTTATGTTCAATATCGGCTTATTTGTTCAAAAGAACTAGACATGAGTTCCATATTTAACAAATGTCAATGATAATTAAACGAGGCCCGAACAAAGATTTATCAAATGCTCTTATTCTTTAATTTTGCACCAGTGTTTCGTTAGCATGTTTCAGCAAGTATCCGACAATGTTTTTTGATGACATGCCTATATTTCTAAGACAGATGACATCATTGGGGTTTAATAAAAACGGTGTCTTTATCCGCCCTCGTTATCCTCCATGTGTTTTGTTATCCAACAATCCCAATGACAATATCAGAAACTCCTGTGCACGACGCCAGGAAAACATAAAAAGATCATGAAGTTGGAATTGAATTCATTATTATATGTTTAGCTTTTGTGACGAGTCAGATGCTGGGCAAGACTTCAGATCTTTTCATTGGATTTGTAAGGCGTGGCAAGAAATTCAGATGGCTGGACAATTCTATCGTCACTTACACCAACTGGTTCCACGGGGAGCCAAACTTTGCTGGAAGAAAGGTTTGTCAATCTCGATGTTTTATAATTTGTAACTTATTGATGAAAATGACTTTCTTTTGTTTTCAAATCGAGACTATACACACATATTATGATGTGATATGTAATAATATAAAATATAATTCATTCCTACAACTTTACCAGGAATATTGTGTGAGGGTCAGAAGAGCTCAGTTTGCCGCTGGAAAGTGGAATGACGTACCGTGTGAAGGAACGTCAGGGTGGATTTGTGAAACATACAAACGTGAGTGTCATATATGTGCTCAGGATAGACCAAGGGAAAGATCAATACCCGGTGATTTCAGCGGGAAGTGGCGTTTCGTTCAGTGGATGAGCTGCGCGCGCACGCATAAATGTGATTATCCAATATAATTAGGGGAGGGCTATTTGAAATGTTTTTTGGTCTCAGGCGCGACCCAGGGCTGTTGTCTTAAGGACATTTCGTTGAAAATGAGCCATTCGGCTGATAATTGGTAAGAGTTTGCGATCTTATAATGTATAACTGTTACTCAGACACATATTTTGACACGATTCTGTTGGAAATAAGCTTTGAACCGAGAGATATTCACGATTGATATGCACATTTTTGATTGTGCCATTGCTTTTCCATTGCACAATCCATGTATTGATAGAAGAAACATTAATAATGCAGATTGGTTTACCTTCAATACATGGCAGACACTACATATCGGTCTATTAATACCAGTTTGTGCCTAAATAGTTTTATATTTCCATCCACGGCCTGGAGCCTGGGTGTGTTTGTCTCTTACGTGTATGCTTGTGCATGGACTTCTAATCACTAGCAGAATTTAACATGATGCAAACTCGACATTATAACTCATGCTGTAACATTTTGACTTCGCTGGAAATCAATAGGAATTATTTTTCTTGCCAATCAATCATGAATCACAATCAAAATTTCAGAATGAGCAATCAGGCAATGATCCAAATCAAGTTATAACATTATATGATATTCAGCAAGAAGTCCGGTAGAAATACAGAATATTTAAACATCAAAGCTGAAAGTTAAAAGCTAATCTGTCAATTTTCTGTCTGCAAAAGAGCGTTTACATTTGACACAATAACAGACTGAGGCTTTGAAATCTAGGATTCCCCAGGAAAATATGACGTCATACTAATTAGCATAAGGATTTCCCTATTGGTTTGGGTCGAGCCTTGTTCGAAAACACAATCCATAAATACATGCTAATTTCTAAGGAGATAGGAAGTGTATAACGTGTTTATCGATTTTGTTTAAATATTTAATCAATTATCAAATTGTTTAAGTGGATAAAGTGGTCACACTTGCTTCAATTCATAGCGAAATCGACGGATAGAAACTGACCGAATTCCCGATATCCTACCCCGTATTACTGTAGGCTACAAGCACAGTGACCTACAGAGGGCGCTATCACAAACAAGTACTGCACGAACCGATAAATTCCCGGGTATTGTAACGCCCTTGGATAGACCAAAAAGTAACACATCAGAGAATTAAGCTAACACAAAATATACTTGAGGGTTTTTGATGTGCATCATAAGAAAGTTTTAATTGAACATTTGGTACGAAATAGAGTAATACATTTAGCTTAGTATGTCGCAATCTCTCATATGTCGCAATCTCTCATTTCCATTATTCAATTTCAGAGACAAGCATTCCAACACCAGAACCCCCAGCGCCATCTTCCTGCCCCACTGGATTCACATCCTGGAACGAGAATTGCTACATGTACGTCTCCTCCCTCAGGACCTGGGACCAGGCTTCTTCCTATTGTTCTCAGCAAAGCACCTCTAAGTTAACAGGGATTCTAAGTGCTTATGAGCAAGGCTTTGTGTACAGTGTACTGTTGAAGAATAATCCCAACCAGGCTCTATGGTTAGGATTGAGTGATAGAATGGTACAGTATATTTTTTATATTATCATCCCACGATACTAGAAACTGGTATGATCTTAATTAAAAGCTTTGTTTACAGCCTATTGAGTTCAGTTGAGTTTAAAGCCCTGTCTGTAGTCCTCAAATGACACAAAACATCTTTTTACAAACCGTGGCTACCTTTGTTGCGTACGTGTACACGTACATTCGGCGGGTGTTCTTTATGCTTATTCTGATATTTAAATGGATCATTTTTCAAAACCTGTACATGAACGTGAAGCGACACGTGTCACAAGTCGAACGTATATTTTAAGATATCCAATAATATATTACTGAATAGGTTCCTGGTACATACAGATGGGTGACAGGATGGCGTCTATATTTCTCCAACTGGGGGAGCAACCAACCGTCACGTGACAATGGAGGATGTGTTCAAATGAATCCTAATGGTAAATGGAGCGATGAAGACTGCAATGGACAGAGATCTTTTATTTGTAAAATTTCAAATGGTAAGTTTCAAATGTTTTTCAATGAATAAAAAAGTAATAAAAAAAAGTTTTCTTTTGTTTAACTACAGGAATCATCTCTTTTTGTCAAAGGTTTGGCGCTTTTTATCATTGTACTAAAACATCGTTTTTACACGCGCACATAGATGGTGGTCCACCAGTTGAACCACCCGCTGGTGATGGCTACTGCCCTGATGGAACAGATGACGACAAAGACTGGGTGAAGTACAATGGTTTCTGCTACCTCTTCCGTCAGACGCTCAACAAGAAGTTCGCAGACGCTGCTCATGAATGCAATATGAAGGGGGCTGAAATGGTTTCCGTCCATGACCAGCTCGAACATAACTTCATATATACACATCTGTCACATGATGCAAGATGGGCGCTCTGGATTGGGTTAATCAGGCAAAGATCCGGTAGGATATTTTAATGTTATTTCTATGAAAATTAAGGCTGGTCTGCATATTGCTTTTATAAGAACTTGCCGGATTCGGCTCTATGGCAACTTATCATTTCACTATGGCATATTTTATTCTTTGCAATTTCAAGGATCCTGGGTTTGGAGAGACCAGAGTCCGGTTGATTTCACCAAGTGGAACAAGGGAGAGCCCAATGATCCGGATGGAAAGAACAACGAAGACTGTACGGAGATGTATGCTTACTATGCCAATGGTGGCTGGAACAATATCCCATGCACCGTACAGAGAGGATATATTTGTAAAGTAGAACAAGGTACTAATGGTTTATTAATGCCTTGGTCACATTTGCTCCGATTTTCACTACGGTGCCCGGCCGATTGAGTATTTTGTTCAAAATTGAATACAATATTGAACAAAACACAATTAGGCCGACCGCCGGTCAATGGATCGGAGCAAATCGTGACCCAAGTATAAATGGAAATTGTTGACTGTGTTCCAACCAAGCGTAAAACCAACAGTTACAATACTTCGATATTTATAGATACAAGCTGATCATGAAGACATGGAGAAAGATGTTAATTAATTTAAGACCAATGTACATGTACTACAGTATGTATACGTAAATGCATGTTCATGTTCAATTAATTTTTTTGAATAGTGTCAGAACGCACAACCATCACACAACCCCGGACCAACCCACCTCCACAGAGTTCAACCACTCGGATAACATATCCACCGGGTGTAAGCACACCAAGTACTACACCAAGACCAGGTCAAACCACTAAATGGATCCCTCCCTGGTTAAGGACCACAGTAAAGACGACAACAGGGGGTGCTGGGAGGTGGACAACTTGGGGACCATTCACCTGGCCTACCTGGAGTAGAGAGCCTCCAACTATGGGCCCTTCACAAATTGTAGCTACTGGTGAGACAAAACAATAAATCAAAATATATAGAGAAAAGTAGAAAACGGTGTTGAATGTACATGACTGATCAGTGTATCCCTATAAATTACGACACAAATTATAATATGGCAATCCTTCTCAAAATCCTAGACGGTACCAACAAAATTGAGACGTAAAATCAGCGATAATTTTTTATTATTACAATGTAACAATGTGTTTCGAAGCGTATCCAGTCAATCATCCTCTTCTTTTTCAGCACCACCTCCGTCAGTAACCACAGGCACAATAGTTGGAATAGTAATAGTGGTATTGATAGCAATTGTAGTTGGTATCATTGCCTTTAAATTCCTGCAAAATAGGAGGGCCAAACAAACGAACCTTGCAGATGCATTCGACAATCCCGCTTATTCTGTCTCGGAGGGGTCTGTCAACAATATGCCAAAATATGGTTCTGATACCACTGCGTAGTGATATTACCAAAAATAAGTCGACATTTTACGTGCAATACCAGTGGCAATACACGTACACAAGAAACATGCTTCGTGATAATGCAAACTACCACATTTTGATACAGTTCAAAGTATATACTTATATTTATACACATTTCAAACCAAATGTAGGTAGAATATAATTGACACTCGATGAGATACGCGTGTCTGTGAGTAAATGTTGTCCATATACTTTCTAGCAGGTTTGATATTTATAGTTTATATTATTTTATAAAATCGAAACAATATTATTAAACACATATTATTAAGATTGTGCACACGGGAGTTATATTTTGAAACAACAAAAGGGATATGAAAGTACTTATGAACGATCTCGCTAGGTCTTTCATGCCATCAGCAAGTGTATCCATGTTTACTTTTACAGGAATTTAGGAGTTTTTTTATAATGATGCTAAAAACCGAAATAACACGTACAATACATAAATAAAACGTTCCCACTTTATATATAAGAATCCATGATACTCCCTAAGTGCATGTAGATGCAAATATGCTCTCATTCATGTAACCCCAAATGGATCAATAGGCTGTATAAACTGCTACTTTCTATGCTAAATAAAATTATTTCAAATATGGCAGAATAACATAAGAAGACTTTTGGTAAAATGTATATATTTTTTATGTTACATTAATTTGTTGTAAGTTCGACAACTGCTCAAAATCAGAAGAGAACTGGGTTGAATGTACATATTTTTGAACAGTTTGCCAGACAACTTAAAAATAATCATAAAACATAGTCCTTCTCTAGCTCTGATATACATACAGCAAATGAATTTTGGAGTGACCAAATAATGCTGAAAACAAGTAACAACACATAATACGGGAGAATAACATGGAGGATTACAGTTAAATGTCTCTATAATTTTTGTTATATTATATTTGTTGTAAGTCCTATATGTACAAGTCAAACTATTTTGTAATTTACACAAGGCGAATTGACTCCAAGGGTTGCAGCTCAACTCGATATCTCCAAGCAATGTGTTCAGGGCTGATCGTGTCTGCATTTCTTCAGCTACAAAGAGAATATTCGATATTCTAGCAATAGTGACGACCTTGACCTTGAGAAACTTTGAGGAGGAAATTATCGTTAATGTCTGACATAATTGGCTGTAAATTCATAATAGCAATCCAAAAGATTTGGACTAATATCTTGATCACTTCTTGTGAGTTTTGATTTTTTGTTTGGAAATGACCAAAATAAATGTTGGAACCCTGGGAGCCAATCCTCTTTGTAATTTACACATATAGATATAAAGTCCAAATCCAGATAACCGCCATATAATGTTGATTTGTCATTCATACACTTTTGTAGTGGTGAATCACATGTAAACTCAGATACACTGTCACTTGTTGAGAATGCATGCCGTCTTACCCCTAGTCAATACTTGTGCTCACCATAAATAAATAGCATCTTGACTTTCTATCACCGTCTCCAAACTATGGTGATTTGAGACTTCATACTTTCCAATAATGTCTAAGTATCCCTTTAGTTTTGTATATTTTGCATTCTGTATACTCTCAACTACTCTTGTATGGACACTTGATAATTTTCTTCTTTTTAACAAGGAAAATTCCCACTTCAGCAAATCCAGGTGTCATTTATTGATGGTGAGCATCGAACAAGTCAACACATTTGGGTCCACTGTCCTATACATAGTACAGCCCTCGCCCGTAGTCAGCTTTTAACAGGGGGAGCTTTTGCCAACAGGGAGCTTTTTGACAGTTTTTTGCTAAGAAGTCATGGAAACGTGCTCAGAATGGTGAAAAACTGCACGGTTTTGAAAAATTCTGGCCAGCTCCACTCTGGCTACCTCCTTCAACCGATATTTACAAGTCTTGAATTGTGGATATTTACAAACGTTTCGAAATGTTCAGACCTATACGTGATTGGTAACATCTGTTCTTTGAAGTATTTTTGGTTGAACTCCATTCTCTATCCCTAGATGTCTATTTATTATCTGAATTATCTCCGATTCGAGATCTTCGTCAATGCTCGGTCTTTCTGAAACTGCATCGCACATGAAGTTTGGCTCTAAAGTATCTACATAATTAGAAGGTTCGTTTAAACCATTCGGTGTGTCATTCAAGCCTAGTGGAGTGTTAGTGAATGGATTACTCCTTCCAACCGTTCCAGATGAAGATGTTCCAAGCGATGATATCGATTCTAGTATCGATGAAGTCGCACTTAATCTTATGCTTTGTTCTCTTAATTCCCGATTATGACGCCTGTTTGTTCTCCAATTCCTTACGACAGTGACACATAGAGCAACGATAGCAATGGTCGAGATGACTATCCATATTATCTGTGTGGAGGTTGAAGTAGTACTATATTCGAGAATCTCATCATCAATGGTATCGAGTCTGTCTGCGTTATCTTGTCCTAAAGAGGACGACTGTTTACCTGGAAAATGATAAAATAAACGCAAGGGGAAATTATTTGCAGTCAAGTCAAGACATTTAACATTGGATTCAAATCCTCTGGAGATATATAAAGTGTCTGATGCTAACTAGCCATTGCAAAAAGATGTTCTTTGTATCACATGCTATGAAAATCCATCTACTAGTATTTAAAGATGATATTATCAAAAAGAGATATTTATATTTTGCCGTGGATATAAAGTTGCCGATTGCCGAATGTAAAACAGAAACGGCAACATAAAATTCGGAAATATAATTAAGTAATTGAAGATTGATCTTTGTGGGCGATAATATGGTAGTTGTCTAACGTGTGTCGACTTACTGTAATAGGGTAATTTTCTAACGAGTATCAACTTACTATACTTTAACAATAAAATAAGATAAAATCGAAGCTTTATTCCCCAGCATAAAATTACAATAAAAAGTCATGTTAAAAAGTTAAAATGTCAGAATCTAATTGTATCCAAGTGCTTTGGAAATCCCAGTATTAAAAGTTTTTAATCCCGATATTAAAAGTTTTTAATCCCGATATTAAAAGTTTTTAATCCCAATATTAAAAGTTTTTAATCCCGATATTAAAAGTTAAAATCACTCAAATTGTCACTCATAATGTCAGGATGTCAGGTTTTCTGAGTCAGTAAAATGAAGGTGATTAAAATTCAGTTGTAAATCAAAATTATATTAGAGGTGTCAGCTTTGCAATATTTTATTGGCTTTACATCTAGGGGTGTCAGGTCGGCAAACTTTTATTCGGCAATAACAATTTTAATCCAATTCGGAAAATAAAGCACCCGGATTTAATACATGTTATACAGTATTTAAAGATGATATTATCAAAAAGAGATATTTACATCCAATTGAATATTGTGTTGATTGTATTTTGAGGTGTACTATGGGAATCAAAAGATAATATGTAAATCAAGAGATCTACTTACTAAGAGAAATGGAAGACCTAAGGCAGGTATAACTTCCGTATGTGTTGATGCAGAACGAAGTACCACATGTTCCACCTGTATCACACTCATTTACATCTAAAATAAACCACGCACTCTCTAATGAAAATGATAATTATATACAGGGGAGTTGGCTAAACTGAACAACGCCCGTGCTACTTTACTCTAAACTGCTTGCTTGTCTCGATTTTCTGTGATATGTATTTCTGAAAGGACAAGTCTTGGTTTGGGGAACAGTCTTCTGGGGTAATAAAATATCACCCAAATTAAAATATGAATATTCAAAAGAGAACATTTAAATGCACAATATGTAAAAATATCAAAATTATCCAACGCAGTCGTAACGTGGAGTTAGACTCATGAACTTCGTTCTCCAAACTGAGAACAGTCCTTTATGAATATATCTCCCTTTCCTTATTGACCACACACATATACACACATAAAATACTGTTGACACAGTTAAACGGTTAAACTTGAATATCAGATCTACAGAGACAAACCTACCATCACAGGCATGTGTGTCGTTGGCTAATTCGTAACCAGTACCACAAGCACAAATGTAGGAACCATTGGTATTAGTACACGACTGCTCACACATGCCATTGTATGTTTCACACTCGATCGTATCTGGAAAGAAATGTAGATACAGACATGTTGATCATTCGTACCCTGCGCAGAGTCTAGTTATGAAATAAACACGAAACTGAAGATGACACTTTCTTTTAAGAAGCGAAGTCGAACGAATGTAAAAGGTAGTTGACTCATTGGTAAATTTCAATTAGGCTGTTCCAATTCTTTAATTGGAAAAATCTTGGCCATTGTATACTGGACATGGTTCAAATGAGACAAGATAAATTGTATGGATGCAATGGAATGGATGGAATCTTATTGACACCTCGATCCGTAACAATGCATACCCTTACCTACACACGTGCTATCGTTTTCTATATGAAAGCCAGAGTCACAGTCACAATAGAAGCTTCCTATGGTGTTAACACAGATGGTATCACAGCCTCCATTTCCGTCTGAGCACTCGTCAATATCTATATAAAAGGTTTTATGTGCACGAAAATTAACTTTCGAATTGAATGGTAAAAATCGTTCACTGCTTTGAACTAACAATGTAAATTGAATTACTTATTGTCCTACTGTGGAAATCTTTCAAATTAGATGTTCAATTCAAGATGCCTGTCAATTTACCCGTAATTCGATTCTTAAATCTATCAAATAAAAACAATTAAATCAGTTATACCTATATACTGCCCTGTTGCTCCAGTGGGACCGGTAGCACCCATAATTCCCGTAGACCCAGTGGGGCCTGTTGCTCCCGTTGGGCCTGTTGCTCCCGTTTGACCAGTAGCTCCGGTTGGACCCGTAGATCCAGTTGGCCCAGTGCTCCCCGTAGGACCCGTAGCTCCAGAAGGACCCGTCGACCCAGTTGGACCAGTAGAGCCTGTAGGACCAGTTGATCCAGTGGGGCCAGTCGCTCCAGTTGGCCCGGTCGCACCAGACGGACCCGTTGCTCCTGTTGGCCCTGTGGAGCCGGTTGGACCAGTAGCGCCCGTGGGACCTGTAGATCCCGTCCTACCTGTTGCTCCAGTTACCCCAGTAGCACCTGTTGGACCAGTTGCGCCTGTAGGACCAGTGGCTCCTGTAGGCCCAGTTGATCCAGACGGTCCTGTTGCGCCAGTAGGACCGGTTGAACCTGTTGGTCCAGTAGCACCCGTTGGACCTGTTGCACCAGTTGGACCTGTTGAGCCTGTTGGTCCAGTCGCGCCTGTAGGACCAGTGGTACCAGTAGGTCCTGTGGCTCCGGTAGGACCTGTTGCGCCAGTGGGACCAGTAGAGCCTGTTGGTCCAGTTGCCCCCGTTGGACCTGTAGCACCAGTTGGACCAGTCGAACCTGTTGGGCCAGTTGCTCCCGTTGGGCCAGTCGATCCTGTTGGCCCAGTGCCACCAGATGGTCCTGTAGATCCAGTTGGACCAGTGGACCCTGTTGGTCCTGTAGAACCAGTTGGGCCAGTTGAACCAGTAGGCCCTGTAGCTCCAGTTGGACCCGTTGTCCCTGTCGGACCTGTCGCTCCCGTTGGTCCCGTTGCTCCCGTCGGGCCTGTTGATCCAGTCGGTCCAGTTGTTCCTGTGGGACCCGTCGATCCTGTTGGGCCTGTTGATCCTGTTGGTCCTGTACCTCCTGTTGGCCCTGTTGCTCCTGTAGGTCCAGTTGCACCTGTTGGGCCTGTTGAACCAGTAGGGCCTGTTGAACCAGTTGGACCGGTTGCGCCAGTGGGACCTGTTGCACCGGTCGGTCCAGTGGCTCCTGAAGGTCCTGTTGATCCCGTTGGTCCAGTGGCTCCTGTTGGGCCAGTTGATCCAGTTGGACCAGTTGCACCAGTTGGACCTGTCGAACCTGTCGGCCCTGTAGCCCCTGTAGGACCTGTTGAGCCCGTCGGTCCTGTTCCTCCCGTTGGCCCAGTTGCACCTGTTGGACCAGTGGAACCAGAAGGACCTGTTGTACCAGTTGGTCCAGTAGTTCCAGTTGGTCCAGTTGCTCCTGTTGGGCCAGTTGCTCCAGTAGGGCCCGTGGAGCCAGTAGGACCCGTTGATCCTGTTGGTCCAGTAGCACCAGTTGGCCCTGTTGCTCCAGTAGGTCCAGTTCCTCCTGTTGGACCGGTTGCTCCTGTTGGGCCAGTTGTTCCTGTAGGACCAGTTGTGCCAGTAGGACCTGTCGAACCCGTTGGCCCTGTTGCACCAGAAGGACCAGTAGTACCAGTTGGTCCAGTAGTTCCAGTTGGTCCTGTTGCTCCTGTTTGACCAGTTGCACCAGTTGGACCTGTCGCGCCGGTAGGACCAGTAGAACCTGTTGGTCCTGTGGCACCAGTAGGACCCGTTGCACCAGTTGGTCCAGTACTTCCAGTTGGTCCTGTCGCTCCTGTTGGTCCAGTGGTGCCTGTTGGGCCAGTGGAACCAGTAGGACCCGTCGAGCCTGTTGGTCCTGTAGCCCCCGTAGGGCCCGTCGCACCACTTGGTCCGGTAGATCCAGTTGGCCCTGTTGCCCCTGTGGGGCCAGTTGTTCCTGTTGGGCCCGTAGAGCCGGTGGGTCCAGTTGAACCTGTTGGTCCTGTAGTCCCAGTAGGACCTGTTGTTCCCGTGGGTCCTGTCGCCCCAGTTGGTCCTGTTGCTCCAGTTGGACCTGTGGCTCCTGTTGGACCTGTTGCCCCTGTTGGACCTGTAGATCCAGTTTGTCCTGTTGCACCTGTTGGTCCAGTTGATCCTGTCGGACCCGTTGTACCAGTTGGACCAGTTGAACCTGTTGGCCCAGTAGACCCTGTTGGTCCTGTTGATCCCGTCGGTCCTGTATTCCCTGTCGGCCCTGTTGTTCCTGTTGGTCCAGTTGCTCCAGTTGGTCCAGTTGAGCCAGTTGGCCCCGTTGTTCCAGTTGGTCCTGTTGCGCCAGTAGGACCTGTAGAGCCTGTTGGGCCAGTTCCTCCTGTTGGCCCAGTTGAGCCTGTTGGACCAGTCCCTCCCGTCGGACCAGATGCACCAGTAGGGCCAGTTGCACCAGTCGGCCCTGTTGAACCTGTCGGTCCAGTTGATCCTGTTGGGCCAGTGGACCCTGTGGGACCAGTTGAACCAGTCAACCCAGTAGAACCTGTAGGACCTGTTGATCCCGTAGGTCCAGTTGATCCTGTTGGACCAGTAGATCCAGTTGGACCCGTTGAACCTGATGGACCAGTAGAACCTGTAGGGCCTGTTGCACCTGTCGGCCCTGTACTCCCCGTAGGTCCGGTTGATCCGGTTGGTCCCGTTGCTCCAGTTGGTCCCGTGGAACCAGTTGGACCTGTTGTACCAGTAGGTCCTGTTCCACCAGTAGGACCTGTTGCACCAGTCGGTCCAGTACCTCCAGTTGGTCCAGTTGATCCCGTTGGGCCCGTTGAACCAGTAGGCCCCGTAGTACCCGTTGGCCCTGTTGCACCAGTTGGTCCCGTCGCTCCTGTTGGACCTGTTGATCCAGTAGGACCCGTTGATCCTGTCGGTCCAGTTGTGCCTGTTGGACCAGTTGATCCTGTAGGACCTGTTGATCCCGTGGGTCCAGTTGAGCCCGTTGGACCTGTTGATCCAGTTGGACCCGTGGATCCCGTGACACCCGTCGAACCAGTAGGACCAGTAGCCCCAGTTGGACCAGTTGATCCCGTAGGACCAGTAGAACCGGTAGGACCCGTCGATCCAGGACGACCGGTAGCCCCAGTTGGTCCTGTTGCACCAGTAGGTCCTGTTGATCCAGTAGGACCTGTCGTTCCGGTTTTGCCAGTAGAACCAGTAGGACCAGTTGAACCTGTCGGTCCAGTCGTTCCTGTTGGTCCCGTAGCTCCTGTTTGACCGGTTGCACCTGTAGGCCCTGTTGTTCCAGTTGGTCCTGTAGATCCAGTTGGCCCAGTTGTTCCTGTTGGACCAGTGGAACCGGTTGGACCTGTTGATCCAGTTGGGCCAGTAGCACCAGTTGGGCCAGAAGCACCCGTAGGTCCAGTTGCCCCTGTTTGACCAGTTGCACCACTTGGACCAGTAGCTCCAGAAGGACCCGTTGATCCCGTCGGTCCAGTTGCTCCAGTTGGGCCTGTTGAACCTGTTGGCCCAGTGGTACCTGTTGGACCAGTTGCACCAGTTGGACCAGTAGATCCAGTGGGCCCGGTTACTCCCGTTCTACCAGTTGAACCACTTGGTCCAGTCATTCCCGTTACACCTGTTGCCCCTGTAGGGCCTGTAGAGCCTGTTGGACCTGTTGATCCTGTTGGTCCAGTTGTCCCTTGTATACCAGTTGCACCAGTAGGTCCAATTGGTCCTATGTCCCCCATTGCTCCTGTTGGTCCTGTGGATCCGATTACGCCTGTAGAACCTGTAGGCCCTGTACTTCCAGTAACACCAGTTGCTCCGGTAGGCCCAGTGCCCCCTGTTGCTCCACTTGTTCCTGTTGCTCCCGTTACACCTGAAAAAATCAGACGTTAAAGATATTCAGACATACAATGCAAGTAGTTCTCGTAGATTAGTCATCTCGCCTTCTATCAGCAGGAGCTATACTCCCCTATAAAAGTTGAACAACCTTTATATATGGAATTTCCCATTGGCTCAATGGTGTCGCAATAATATTAATCAGCAACAGATATAAAATCTCCAGAGCGAAATCTCATGACAGTAAATGATCATTTGTTAAGTCATCCAATAAATATAATTTACAAGCTGGGGAAATCTTAGATGGCTTTATGGTTTCTTTCCACATTGTAATATGAGCATGGCAGTCTCAAAATATTTTGATGATTATATCGTTTGTTTCAAATTGATTTGCAATTTTGCAGATTTATACATTGTGTAGTCTTAAATGAAATTTATGATTTTATTTGTTTACATTAGCGCCTCATTGAAAGATAAAATAAGATTAATTCCAAGCATATTAATTATAAAGCACATCAAAGAATAGTATAGCGTATAAGAGGCGTATAGTTTTTTTAGATAACGTAAGCCTTTACACATCTTTTGTATGTACCTAGGCTTGTATCCTACTATTCACAGCTCTGTGGGCAATATAGTGAAGTATTACATACCTAGCGAAGCATTTGTATGGAAGTCAATGGGAAAGTTAGCGAGCTATATCCACCGATATTGCCCGATTACCCCGATATAGCCCGCTTACCTCGTTTTGATATTAGATTTCTTTAATAACCATGATAATATCATGACGTCACGTCATTGATACAACGTAACCATGGGAACAAAGGCATGTGATACATCAGTTATGTCACTATGACGTGAAATATGCCTGAGTTCTCCCAATATAGGCCGACCACTATATTGCCCTTCGAAATGACGTTATTGTACTATTCTAGATTAGTATACATTCTTTACAACCGGAAGTACCTTCTGTTATTGTTTGGCGGTTTAAGTATTGTAATTGAGGAACTTTGGGATCTAAACATTAACATGCTTTCAAACGCTATCCATGGAAAACGTCCAGTTTCCAGACATATGGACAGGAGTGTACCCGATGCAATGACCGAATGTCCGATCTGTTCGCGAACACATAATATTTGTATAATTAAACTTCCTCATATATTGAACGCGCCTTTAAGTTACGTTTATGACAGTACGTCTGAAAAACTTTTTTAAGAACTAAGGGTTCTTCGAAACGCTGAGACGGTAAAAGAGTATTTAGTTTAGAATTTACTGCTTTGGAATTTTTTATCAGACAATCCATGAATCAATTCACATAGGGGACACTTTGAAAAATCTTATTTGAGTCAACTATTGCAAATGACATATTTCACTTTCACGATAGTCTAACCGTATTATAGTCCCAATTCATATTTCTACAGTATTAAACCTACCTGTTGCACCAGATGGACCAGTTGCTCCCGTAGGACCAGTTGCGCCGAACAAACCAGTTGCACCAGTTATGCCCGTTGCTCCTGTTACACCCGTAGACCCTGTTGGGCCTGTCGATCCTGTCGGACCAGTTGATCCAGTAGGGCCAGTACTGCCTGTGACACCAGTTGCACCCGAAGGCCCCGTTGCACCTGTTGGGCCTGTTGATCCTGTCGGACCGGTAGCTCCTGGAACACCTGTAGCTCCTGTTGGCCCTGTCGATCCAGTAGGTCCAGTTATAGCATCGTAGAAATTTAAATTAACCACATTACCAGCCGGTCCAGTCGACCCAGTTGGTCCAACCACGCCATCACTCCCAGTTGCGCCAGATGGGCCAGTTGAACCATCTGGTCCTGTCGATCCTTGCGGTCCCGTTGCACCAGTGGGCCCAGTGGCAGTACCAGTAGCTCCTGTTGGCCCAGTTGCACCGTCAGGCCCTGTATAACCAGTGGGTCCAGTGGCACCCGTTGGACCTGTTGTTCCTGTTGGGCCAGTGCTTCCGCTTATACCAGTAGAACCGACTGGCCCAGTGTTTCCAGTAACGCCAGTTGCTCCTGTTGGTCCAGTTGATCCTGTAGGACCTGTGGCACCAGGTACACCAGTAGACCCAGTAGGTCCAGTAGCACCCGTTGGCCCAGTTGAACCTGTTGGTCCAGTCGTGCCAGGAGGACCTGTTGCCCCTGTGGGTCCGGTTGACCCAGTTGGTCCAGTAGCACCATTATAAAATTGTAAATACACAACATTCCCAGCAGGTCCAGTTGCTCCCGTTGGTCCAAGAACACCAGTACTACCAGTTGCACCCGATGGTCCAGTTGAACCATCTGGTCCTGTTAATCCTGTCGGTCCCGTTGCACCAGTTGGACCAGTTCCAATCAAACCCGTAGCCCCCGTTTGTCCAGTTGAGCCATCAGGTCCTATTTCACCTGTTACACCAGTCGCACCCGTAGGTCCTGTTACTCCTGTTGGGCCCGTGGCACCACTTCTGCCAGTTCCCCCAGTTGGACCTGTAGCACCCGTTGGACCAGTAGATCCTGTCGGTCCTGTTGTTCCTGTTGGACCAGTTGTCCCTGCTACCCCAGTTGCACCTGTAATGCCAGTTGATCCCGTTACACCTGTTCCTCCAGTGGGCCCAGTTGCACCAGTTGGACCAATCATTCCAGTGTTTCCCGTGGCACCAGTTACTCCAGTAGCACCCGTTGGACCCGTGCTTCCAGTTACACCAGTGCTACCTGTAGGCCCTGTTGCTCCCGTAACACCAGTAGCTCCAGTTGGGCCTGTTGCACCAGATGGACCTGTTGCACCAGTTGGACCAGTGCTTCCAACTCCTGTTGAACCCGTTGGACCAGTAGTTCCTGTTGGTCCGGTTAATCCTGTTGGTCCAGTAGATCCTACTGGTCCAGTTGCTCCAGATGGTCCTGTTATGCCAAGATAGTAGCTGATGTTGATGGTATTTCCTGACGGTCCTCTGGGTCCAGTTGCACCAGTTGGACCCAATGCTCCCATTGGTCCTGTTGCCCCCTCGTCTCCTTTTGTTCCTGTTGGACCAGTGCTTCCAGTCACTCCAGTTGATCCAGTGGGACCAGTTGCAGAAGTAGGTCCAGTTGCGCCCGCAATGCCTTTAATTCCAGTTGCACCAGTTTGGCCTGTAGCACCTGTGGATCCTATAACACCTGGCTGACCAGTGGCACCAGATAACCCAGTTGCCCCGGTTGGGCCAGTGAGACCAATTGAACCAGTTGCACCTGTTGTACCTGTTGATCCAGTTGGTCCAGTAGAACCTGTTTTACCAATTGAACCAGTAGGTCCAGTTGATCCGGTGTTACCAGTAGAGCCAGCATTTCCTTTTGCTCCACTTAGTCCGGTGCTTCCTATTGGTCCAGTTGCACCTGTAATTCCAGTTGCTCCAGTAGGTCCCGTGGCACCGGTTGGACCAGTTGACCCTGCAGGTCCTGTAGAACCTGTAGGACCAGTTCTACCAGTTGGTCCAGTAGAACCAGTTGTCCCTGTCGAACCAGATGGTCCAGTGCTACCGATCGGCCCAGTTGCTCCAGTTATACCAGTTGAACCAGTAGGCCCAGTAGCACCAGTTGGACCAGTAGATCCCGTTGGACCTGTATTACCTGTTGGACCAGTTCCGCCTGTTGGACCTGTAGCTCCAACATAATAATTGATATTAACAGTGTTGCCAGAGGGTCCTGTTGCACCTTCGGGCCCAATATCTCCTTTATTACCAGGTACACCAGTAGGACCAGTTGAACCATCAGAACCAGTAGAGCCAGTCTGTCCCGTGGCTCCGGTTGGTCCTGTTGCACTCGTTGGCCCTGTAGCTCCTATATTCCCTTTGATTCCAGTGGGCCCAGTACTTCCTGTTAACCCTGTTGAACCGGTAGGACCTGTTGTCCCTGTTGGACCCGTGCTTCCAATAGCTCCAGTCGGGCCAGTTGATCCTGTTGGACCGGTAGATCCTGTTGGACCTGTTCCACCTGTTGGTCCAGTTGCACCAGCTGGTCCAGTAGATCCTGTTGGACCAGTCCCCCCTGTAGGTCCAGTGTGGCCCTCATAATAGTTTATGTTAACTGTGTTACCAGATGGTCCTGTGGCTCCACTTGGTCCAACGAGGCCCTGGTCACCTTTTTCACCAGTCGGACCTGTAGCACCTACGACTCCTGTTGATCCAGTTGGTCCAGTTAACCCAGTTGGTCCAGTTGCTCCTGTTGAACCGGTTGCACCGGTGGGACCAGTACTACCAGTAACACCAGTTCTGCCAGTTGGACCAGTTGCCCCAGACGGCCCTGTCGCTCCAGTGTTACCAGTGCTTCCCGTTGGACCCGTTTTCCCCGTAACGCCAGTGCTACCAGTTGGTCCAGTTGTTCCTGTGAGACCAGTTGCCCCGAGAATGCCTGTTGATCCCGTTGGTCCTGTTTTTCCTGTTACACCTGTTGAACCAGTTGGTCCTGTAGTACCTGTTGGTCCGGTCGATCCTGTTGGTCCAGTAACACCTGTAATTCCTGTTGAACCAGTTGGGCCAGTAGAACCCATTGGACCTGTTACTCCAGTTTGTCCTGTAGCTCCAATTGGTCCCGTGGATCCTGTTGGTCCAGTACTTCCAGTCGGACCAGTTGTTCCAGTTGGACCAGTTGCGCCAGTTGGACCCGTTGCTCCCGTTGGTCCAGTAGAGCCCGTAGGGCCTGTGGTGCCAGTAGGTCCAGTTGTTCCCGTAGGACCGGTTGTGCCAGTTGGTCCTGTCGATCCAGTTGGTCCAGTTGATCCTGTAGGACCTGTTGCTCCAGTTGGTCCAGTCGAGCCAGTTATACCTGTAGCTCCTGTTGGCCCAGTAGTTCCTGTTGGCCCAGTATGACCAGAATAATAATTTATATTAATAGTATCTCCCGTTGGACCAGTTGCTCCACTTGGCCCTATGGTTCCAGTATCACCAGTTGCACCCGGGCGGCCAGTAGAACCAGTAGGACCTGTTAAGCCCGTTGGGCCAGTTGCTCCTGTAGGTCCAGTTGCTCCAATCTGTCCTGTTGACCCCGTTGGACCTGTCATCCCTGTTATACCCGTTGCTCCCGTAGGACCAGTAGACCCAGTTGGCCCAGTAGAGCCCGTTGGTCCTGTCTTTCCAGTTACCCCAGTTGCCCCAGTCGGTCCAGTCACACCAGTTAAACCAGTTGCACCAGTGATACCCGTGGATCCGGTTGGACCAGTTGTGCCAGTGACACCAGTTGATCCAGTTGGACCAGTTGCACCTGTAGGCCCAGTAGTGCCCGATGGTCCTGTGGTTCCAGTGACACCAGTTGAACCAGTTGGCCCTGTTGCCCCTGTTGGACCAGTTGATCCAGTTATGCCAGTGGCACCAGTGGGTCCAGTTTTACCAGTCACCCCTGTTGAACCAGTTGGGCCAGTAGTGCCGGTTGGACCTGTTGTTCCTGTAGGTCCAGTCGCTCCAGTCACACCAGTAGTTCCAGTAGGTCCTGTTGTCCCTGTAGGACCTGTTGCCCCATAGACTCCAGTTGATCCTGTTGGACCCGTAAGACCAGTGACACCTGTGGCGCCAGTTGGCCCTGTTGCTCCTGATGGCCCAGTTGAACCTGCTGGGCCTGTATTACCAGTTGGACCAGTAGCAGCGATTGGTCCAGTTGCACCAGTAGGTCCAGTTGATCCAGTTGGTCCCGTCGACCCTGTAACACCTGTCGCCCCAGTGGGTCCAGTGGCTCCAGTTGGCCCCGTCGCTCCACTGGTACCTGTCGAACCTGTTAAACCTGTACTGCCAGTTGGACCAGTAGAACCAATCGCTCCAGTTGCACCAGTCGGTCCAGTTGTCCCAGTTTGTCCCGTCGAGCCTGTAATACCAGTGGCTCCTGTTGGTCCAGTAGCTCCAGTTGGTCCGGTAGCTCCAGTAGGGCCCGTTGAGCCTGCAATGCCAGTACTTCCAGTCGGTCCTGTTGCACCAGTTGGGCCAGTTGCACCAGTGGGGCCTGTGGAACCTGATGGTCCCGTCGTTCCTGTAATACCAGTAGCTCCAGTTGGACCTGTTGAACCAGTTGGTCCTGTTGATCCAGTAGGTCCAGTTGATCCTGTAGGCCCTGTTTTACCAGTAGGACCAGTTGCACCACTTGGACCAGTTGCACCTGTAGGTCCTGTGGAACCCGTTGGTCCTGTTGTTCCAGGAACACCAGTCGCTCCCGATATCCCCGTGGATCCAGTTGGGCCAGTAGCCCCTGATGGACCAGTGGATCCTGAAGGGCCTGTGCTACCAGTTGGGCCAGTTGAACCAGTTGGTCCAGTAGCACCCATTGGTCCGGTTGAACCTGTGTTGCCTGTACTTCCAGTGAGGCCTGTTGCCCCTGTTGGACCTGTTGCACCAGTCGGGCCAGTTGAACCTGTTGGTCCAGTTGTCCCGGAGACACCAGTAGCTCCACTTTGTCCTGTAGATCCGTTAGGTCCAGTAGCTCCTGTTGGACCAGTTGAACCCGTTGGCCCTGTACTTCCAGTCTGGCCTGTTGCACCAGTTGGGCCTGTTCTACCTGTTGGTCCTGTTGAACCTGTTGGTCCTGTTGTTCCAGAAACACCAGTTGCTCCTGTTGGACCCGTGGATCCAGTTGGACCAGTAGCCCCTATTGGGCCAGTTGCACCTGTAGGACCTGTACTACCAGTTGGACCGGTTGCACCAGTAGGTCCTGTAGCACCAGTGGGGCCAGTTGTACCCGTAGTGCCTGTACTTCCAATCGAACCTGTTGCACCAGTTGGTCCCGTAGCTCCTGTTGGTCCAGTTGAACCTGTTGGCCCCGTTGTTCCAGAGACACCAGTTGCTCCTGTTGGACCAGTCGTTCCACTTGGGCCAGTAGCCCCCGTTGGACCAGTCGAACCTGAAGGACCTGTACTGCCAGTTGGCCCGGTTGCCCCAGTAGTTCCTGTGGCACCAGTGGGACCGGTAGTACCCGTAATGCCTGTACTTCCAGTCGGACCTGTTGCACCAGTTGGACCCGTTGAACCTGTGGGTCCAGTTGAACCTGTTGGTCCTGTTGTTCCAGAGACACCGGTTGCTCCACCTGGTCCAGTGGATCCAGTTACTCCAGTCGCCCCTGTTGGGCCAGTCGAACCTGTTGGGCCCGTACTACCAGTCGGACCAGTTACACCAGTTTGACCTGTTGCACCCGTTGGTCCTGTTGAACCTGTTGGCCCCGTTGTTCCAGAGGCACCGGTTGCTCCCGTTTGGCCCGTAGAGCCAGTTGGGCCAGTAGCTCCTGTTGGACCAGTCGAACCTGAAGGGCCTGTGCTACCGCTTGAGCCTGTTGCACCAGTTGGTCCAGTCGCTCCTGTGGGGCCAGTCGAACCTGTAATGCCCGTACTTCCAGGCATGCCAGTTGCACCAGTTGGACCCGTTGCCCCTGTAGGTCCAGTGGAACCCGTCGGTCCTGTTGTTCCTGAAACACCAGTTGCTCCAGTTGGGCCTGTAGATCCAGTAGGTCCAGTCGCTCCTGTTTGGCCAGTTGAACCTGTTGGTCCTGTACTCCCGGTTGGACCAGTTGCACCAGTTGGACCTGTTGCACCTGTGGGTCCAGTTGAACCTGTAGGTCCTGTTTTTCCAGAGGCACCAGTCGCTCCCGTTGGGCCCGTAGATCCAGTTGGTCCCGTAGCTCCTGTTGGACCAGTGGATCCTGTAGGGCCTGTACTACCTATTTGGCCAGTTGTACCTGTAGGTCCAGTTGCTCCTGTGGGGCCGGTCGTACCCGTAGTGCCTGTACTTCCAGTCGGGCCTGTTGCACCAGTTGGACCCGTTGCACCTGTGGGTCCAGTGGAACCAGTCGGTCCTGTTGTTCCAGAGTCACCAGTTGCTCCAGTTTGACCGGTCATTCCAAATGGACCAGTAGCTCCTGTTGGACCAGTCGAGCCTGAAGGGCCTGTGCTGCCAGTTAACCCAGTTGAACCAGTAGGTCCCGTGGCACCAGTGGGGCCGGTTGTGCCCGTAGTGCCCGTACTTCCAGTCGGGCCTGTTGCACCAGTTGGACCCGTTGCACCTGTGGGTCCAGTTGAACCTGTTGGTCCTGTTGACCCAGAGACACCAGTTGCTCCCCCTGGTCCAGTCGATCCAGTTACTCCAGTCGCCCCTGTCGGGCCAGTTGTACCAGTTGGGCCAGTACTACCAGTTGGACCAGTTGTACCAGTAGGTCCAGAAGCTCCCACTGGACCTGTCGACCCTGTAGTGCCCGTACTACCAGTGATGCCAGTTGCACCAGTTTTCCCTGTTGCACCTGTGGGACCAGTTGAACCCGATGGTCCTGTTGTTCCTGAAACTCCAGTAGCTCCGTTTGGACCCGTAGATCCAGTTATACCAGTCGCGCCTGGTGGCCCAGTCGAACCTGTTGGGCCTGTATTACCAGTCGGGCCAGTTGCACCAGTTGGGCCTGTTGTACCTGAAGGTCCGGTTGAACCCGTTGGTCCTGTTGTCCCGGAGACACCAGTTGCCCCAGTAGGACCTGTTGATCCAGTTTGGCCAGTTGCACCTGTTTGCCCTGTACTGCCAGTCGGGCCAGTTGTGCCAGTTGGTCCAGTAGCCCCAGAGGAACCAGTTGAACCTGTCGTCCCTGTACTACCAGTCGGTCCAGTTGCGCCAGTTGGGCCAGTTCCACCAGTGGGTCCCGTTGTCCCTGTTCTTCCAGTAGACCCAGTCGGTCCAGTAGATCCTACACGTCCAGTAGCGCCCGAAGGGCCTGTTGAACCTGTGGGACCTGTACTACCAGTCGGGCCCGTTGCTCCAGTTGGGCCAGTGGCACCAGTGGGCCCGGTCGAACCTGTTGGTCCAGTAACACCTGTTGTCCCTGTGCTTCCAGTTGTTCCAGTTGATCCAGTCGGTCCTGTTGTTCCAGGTTGGCCTGTAGCCCCCGTCTGACCTGTTGCACCTGAAGGACCAGTTGCACCTGTAGGGCCAGTAGTTCCAGTTGGACCAGTTGAGCCCGTCGGTCCGGTCGACCCTGTTGGCCCAGTTGTACCAGTTGTTCCGGTTGCCCCGCTGGGTCCCAAAGCTCCCACTTGCCCAGTAGCTCCCGTTGGACCGGATGCTCCAGTTGGACCCGTTGTTCCTGTTGGGCCCGTAGTTCCTGTAGGTCCCGTTGCGCCAGTTGGACCAGTTGCGCCCGTTGGACCCGTTGAACCAGTTGGGCCTGTAGTTCCCGTCGGTCCCGTAGTTCCTGTTAGCCCAGTCGCTCCAGTTGGTCCGGAAGCCCCGCTTGGTCCTAGAGCTCCAACTTCCCCAGTAGCACCCGTCGGACCGGTAGCTCCAATGGAACCTGTTGCACCTGTTGGACCTGTAGTTCCTGTAGGGCCTGTAGCACCCGTTGGTCCAGTACTTCCTGTTGGACCTGTAGTTCCTGTTGGACCTGTTGTACCCGTTGGACCTGTAGCTCCTGTTGTGCCTGTAGCTCCCGTGGGACCGGTTGCACCTGTTGGGCCTGTTGTACCTGTTGGGCCAGTACTTCCTGTTGGACCCGTAACCCCTGTTGGCCCTGTTGCTCCTGTTGGTCCAGTTGTACCTGTAGGTCCTGTTGTACCTGTTGGACCAGTACTTCCTGTTGGACCAGTACTTCCCGTTTGGCCTGTTGTACCTGTCGGACCTGTACTCCCTGTAGTACCCGTTGCACCTGTCGGACCCGTTGATCCAGTTGGGCCAGTTGTGCCTGTAGGGCCTGTCGCACCTGTTGGACCAGTACTTCCTGTTGTACCCGTAGTTCCTGTTGGACCTGTTGTACCCGTTGGACCTGAAGCTCCTGTTGGACCTGTAGCTCCCGTGGGCCCTGTTGTACCTGTAGGGCCTGTTGTACCTGTTGGACCTGTACTTCCTGTAGGACCCGTTGCACCTGTTGGACCCGTAGATCCTGTTGGACCTGTTGCACCTGTAGGGCCTGTGGCACCAGTTGGACCAGTGCTTCCTGTTGGACCCGTAGCCCCGCTTGGTCCTAAAGCTCCAACTTCTCCAGTAGCTCCTGTTGGACCAGTTGCTCCACTGGGACCTGTTGCTCCTGTTGGCCCCGTTGCACCTGTTGGGCCCGTAGTTCCCGTTGGTCCGGTTGCCCCCGTTGGCCCAGTAGCACCTGCCACTATTGAGAAAATAAGACTCAATTAAACTGCAGTTTAGGGTAAGTTAGAAAATTATTCACAATGTCTTTAATTGTCAGAATATTAAAATGTTTATTGCTTACCTCTCTTAATTCGTCTCGGTGATGGTCTAACAAAGTCCTCTTGGAAGTACGATGATCTGAACAGATCTAAGAATGAAAATATATCAATTATAAATTATTAGAATTATTGTTTCATTTTCTTAGAATCTGAAACATATAATCGATAATTCCATTACCAGTTGTTTAATTCATTGCTCACATTTTTTAACTTGTAGGCTTTCCAGAATTAAGAGATTACCAGAAGGATAAATTTTTGTCTAGATTATCAAACACCTTTTTTCGAGAGACATGTATTTTATTTTTTAGATCAGATGCAAGTGGTATATACAAGATACCTGTGTATATCCATCAATAGATTTCATCCACGTGTATATATTTAGGTTTACCTGTAATCAGTGGAGCAATTGCTACAGAGCGTTGAATATTCGTTCCAGCATTGATGTTTATCTCCTTCAGAATGTCTCTCCGCCGATAGTATTTTGGATCATCAGGTAGCTCGATATTATTAAGTTGATCATCATTAAAGTGGATTTTATCGTGTTGGGGAAAAGACCAACCAAATACATCTCCAACGAGAACACTGACATCGTATTTCAGATAAACCTAATAAAGATAACGTCGGCAATTTTAAAAATATCTTTGAGGGATCCAAAGTAATGAGCAAAAATGGACAAAGTAGTAAATATACAATTGTCAAGCTGATTTTCAAGCTCCATTATTTACAGTGGAGCAATGGATATTAAGTCTATTGATGGTGTAAATTGTAGACTGTCAAAGGAACATCAAAGGATAATTAAATTACATGCCAACCCTATCATTGTGCATGGGGATTTTCTCTTCATGTTCAAATATACAAACTAAACATCATATGCCCATTCGTGAATTAAAGTTACTTACAATATCATCATCAAAGATGTGTATCCTTTCTGTCCAAGTGACATTGTAGGAATGAACATCACGTTTCTTAATTGGTCTCAAAATGTACAACTCGATTTGAGAGTCTATTTTGTTAACATCTGAAAGTGACAAGACACACATTAGGTCAACCGTAAACTTAGTTAATGCTAAGATGAAGAAATGTATATTCAAATTAAATGAATCTTAGGTAAGTTAAATTGATCGATTGCATTTAAATATTGATTAAGTGTGAAGAAACACAACTTAAAAGCTAGCCCCGTTTTGGAAACATATACATTTAAAGATTTTAAACCTTACCTGAGATGTGTACTCCATAAAGCATTCCATTCTCTTCCAGAAGCTGGCCGTTGGCTTGAATCGAATGATGCCCTTTGCCATATTCCGTTCGGATGGTGAATTCTACCGTATTAGTGGTTACAGTTCTTTCTGAAATGATTTTATATACCTCAATTAGAATGCAATAACTATATTGAAATATTGTACTAAACGAATGACTACTTGATGAAAAATGTTTTCGAGGTGGGATGTTGTCAAGTGGGGCGATGTGTTGCCAAGGCTATTAGCCATCCATCTGAGTCAAACCAAATATTTTCCATCATCTCTCGAAAGAGAAGCTTTTAACATGTTTAAGGTCAGTACCACCTCTGCCATTCACCAAGTTCCCACTATCCCTCTAAATAGGTATGACTCCCTCCTCAGATTCCCATCAAAAATCTATTTAATATCATATATTTGTTACGACTTACCACAACTGGATGGAGATATGATGGCGGAGCACAATACGACAAATATTATTCCACGAGGATACACTTTATAAATCCTAGAATGATAAAAAATTAACTGCAGTAATGCTAGAACAAAGCACATACGTTGGTTATGAACATATTGAAATTAAAAAAGTATGATAACTTAAAACGATTTGAACTTTTGGATGCGAACGACAAGACTAGGAAAGAATATGGGCGGCAAAAAGTCTACAATTGAGGGAATCTCGACATTAGTTTATAAAATTAATGTATCATCAATTAGTAAATACGTACCTTTTCATTGTGATCATATTTTTCTATTTATTTCCGTTCTTATTACAGATATCCAAAACAAAATGGTGGCGAGGGCTAAACGATTGAAATGCCTTTGTATTAATATGATGTAATTCCAAAATGATTTCATTCATTTACAATGAGAACGTTTACTTATACAAGTATTATGATTACATATATATGTACTATATATATACTACATGTAGGAGATATGTTTCATCTATCGCAAAAGAGCTTATGATCAAATACCGGGGATTAGATAGAATTAATTTGAAGGGCGGTACAGAATATTATTACGATATTTAAAGCGATTGACCAAGACCATCAGCGCGAACATTGAATCATAGTGCTTTTTGATTGTCACAGATTCGACATATCCGATCAGAACTTATCTGGTCAGAAGATCAGTACACTATATTTTCTCCGTAGCTGATATTCATTTTCAAGTTAACTCCCAAGCCCATAGAAGCTTCATTTAAGTTCATTGAGATTATATCAGTATAGTTTCTATAAACTAAAATAATTTGCAGTACCCATGCCAGAGGGTGGTATATCTGGGGTATTATCTCGGGGATTATTCATTTTCCAATAAGATTACATCGATGAGCGTGTATAAGGAGTGTTCAGCAGTACAGTTGAATGGACCATATCAATCGAACAAAAATCACTATCAAAAGTACAAAAATTTAGTTCTAAATAAAGTATCGTTGGCAGTGCAATTTATGCACTCACTTAACGCGGGTATTACTTATTGTAAGTAGCTAGCTAGCCAATGAAAATCCCTCGATGCACCAGTTTCACCATAAGGAGGTTTTAGTTTGACAATATAGCAGACATAGAAAAATTTGAATATTAGATAACAAATAGATATGATGGATCAATTCTCATCTATTCTTTTTAAATTTGTTAATTATACAATTGTTGTATGTTCAGTATAATAGGTTATTAATATCGACTCTCCTTATATAAAGTTGGGATATCGGAGAGTAAGGGATTACGAGCATGAACGTGTATCATTAAGTGAACTGAACGACATATTTTTTCAACTTTGCACACTCGATAGTTGATTACTTAGGTAATTTTATTTTGAGAAATCAAAAATTATAAGCCACCTGCTTCGTTATTATAACTCTTCAGAAGAATTACAATTTTGCATTTCTTAAATGCTTGACATCAAGAAATATATATATTTTTACTCAGGTTAAACACAAGTCAATTCATTGCTCATATGCTATAGCGTGGAGCCATCTTTTGCCAGTGGATAACTATATTAGTCAATATAGAAAATTCAAATAACGCTAATTAAATCATTTGATTTTGCAAAGCAAATAGGCAAGAAATGTAGGTAGATGGGCATATACCAAAGTCCCCATAGTATGTGTAATATAACACTGTAAAGCTTATCCACAGTTATTTTTTATTGCCTAGTACTATGGTTCAACTCACAAATGGGAAAAAGTTACAACCATTTAAAAACTTAGTGTTTCGCCAAAATTGAAGTTCGGTTCAGTGTCCTGGAAACAGTCCTGACATGAGTTTGGCCAAGAATATTGGTGCTATCGTCATAGATAGGATGGGTCATGAGTTTGGCCAAGAATATTGGTGCTATCGTCATAGATAGGATGGGTCATGAGTTTGGCCAAGAATATTGGTGCTATCGTCATAGATAGGATGGGTCATGAGTTTGGCCAAGAATATTGGTGCTATCGTCATAGATAGGATGGGTCATGAGTTTGGCCAAGAATATTGGTGCTATCGTCGTAGATAGGATGGATATTGAGTTGGAAACAGAGGACGGTAAGGGCAGACACTCCAGACACTCTTTTAAAATGCCTTAAAAATGTTTTATGAAGATTACAAAATGCCACACCCCTATTTGAAGCGCGTTTAATGTCATATATTAAATAATAGTACAATAACGTCATTTCAAAGGGCAATATAGTGAAATATTGGTCAAAGGGCCGCAGGGCCCAAGGTCCAATATTTCACTATTTTGCCCGCAGAAATGACGTTATTACTATTATTACCACCGTTAATGACCAGGGCTGAAATAGCAAATTTGAAATAGAAAATCTTACGCACTGAACGATATCACTTTTCCCGGGAAACATAGCCGGGCGGATAATGTCATTATTCTCAACTAGTACTAAAACCCCCAGAACAGGCCCTGCAAGGTGGTAATAATTTCTGATATTAACATGGCAAAGGGAGACACACCGACTATTAATCTGGTGTAAAACTGAACTATAATTTTAGCCAAAAATAAATTTTGAAATTCCTGTAATACTGTGGTAACGTTTTCCCATGTGAGTTGAATATGAATGACATACAACATATACTATGGATACGGTATATATCTGCTTAGGAGGGGGTCCATACCCTCGGGACACACCCTGTATATGTTTCTTTCGTATCAAATCTACACTCGATACCCACTCGTCAGTCTCCCCAAATTCGTGCAATACTGAACTTGACAAACATGTGCATATTTGTCCAAACAGTTACATCATAAATATTCTGATTGCCGAGACAGATATTTGCAGATGTCTTCACATTAAGTACTTAGTGAGTAATCAAGCAATATAAAACAAGACTAGATATTTACGTATATTAGATAATTTATTACTATAATATTTATGCCCAAGGACTATAACACATTTTTACATATTTGAGCATTTAACAAGTGCAGTATCCCGGATTGCGCGACCCTACAGTCTACTTATATTTGGTATTGAATCGCGTGAATTATAATCAAGAACAAAATATAAAGTGTTCATTATAAATACTAGAGTCTAGAACAGCTAGAAGCATCGATACAATACGATACAATTAGTAAAAAAGTAAATGTAGAACACCAAACACATTGTACAAAATTATGACAATTACTTATTGCATATTTATGATAAAAACGCAAATTATTTCATAACCATTTCATCGACAATTTTATGTATCAATAAATAAATATATTTCATAAGAAATGAAATTGTTTTGCATAAGATGTATATCGTTCGTTGTTTCCTAATGAATCGCATACATTTTCCTGATTCGTGTAGGGGTTTAGTGCAACAGATTTTTAAGTGTCTCCGGTGGTCAGTGTCCGGCTAACAGTAAGCTCCGGGATGCTTCTCCGAGTTTTAAGTGTCCCCCTCAAGGTTTTGAATATGACAGGTTTAGGTTTCCCCAGTTACAACTGTCTCCCCATTGTCCACCAGCGGACAGCCAACTCAGATCACTAGGGGGGGACAACAAAACCGGTTATACCGGGCTAAAATTAATTGAACTAATTATCAGTTTAATTCAACAAAAACCAAAAATATCGAAATCGACACTTACCGTCCACCATCTTAGATGAGAAGGTAACGGCCGTTACCACATCTTGGTACTGACCAGTGGATTGGTTCTTTTGTAACTACGATGATTTTAAATGATTCCGTGCAAGTCTATTATTTCAGACGTAATGGAATATCGTATTTTAACATGTATTACAATTAATATTTCTGGTACCTGAGTTCTGTTTGTTAAAATATTTTCGTCTCTTGCCGAATAACAAATGCTTGAACAACTTCTACAATCAAACGTTGGAAAACGAAGCGAAAAGGCTCACTTTTTATATTCTCATTTGTATCTTATGTCGCATCGGATAAAGCAAAAACCCACAAGGCCGTTTTTTCCAGACGGTTTTTCCTACTCGATGATGCTTTTCATTGATTCAGTTTACACACGTTGATTCTTCATACCGAATTTGAAGAATCAGTTTTAATAAAAATACAATATTTACATTAGAAATGTACATTAACTTTGTATATTTATATACAGTGGTTTTAAAGATGGGATTCTTAGCTACTCGAGTTAAGACTCCTCTTATGATTGGCGGCGATACTTCAAAACGGTATTCTTGGTAGCTTTCTTTTATGATTATAAGATTCCATACTATCAAATGCTTCATTTGTTTCCCCAAAGTCACTTAGATTGTCTCTTTCCGATTGCATATCACATAAAATGTTTGGTTCTAGTGCGTCGCCGTTTAATTGACGTCCATGAATAATGGCATTGTCTCTCTCTGATTGTACGTCACATAAAAAGTTTGGTTCTAGCGTGTCGCCATCTAGGCTCTCGGTATATTTTGGTCGACCGTCTTCGATAGAGACACTCGCTGAGGAATTTGTTGTTGCAACATTATAACTAGCGTTCTTGTTTTTATGGGATTTCCATAGTTTGACGGAGACTACGCCTAATATAGCCGATACTATGGTTGAAAGAATTACCCAGACTGCCAATGAAGTAACTGTGCTCTGGGTACCAGTTAGTTTATCTAATGTTGTTTCAATTGCAGAGTCAATTGCGTCTAAACGCTCGCTGTTGGCCTCTGCTTGTTGACGTGTTTCGGCTATTAAAGGTGTCATTTTTTCTACGTAACCTACAATTAAAAGGATGTAATCGTAAAATATTTCAATTATCATTGATTATCATTCATTGCCACATGGATTTTCGTGATTGGCACTGCAGCCAGCCATAGTCTACTCCTCTGTCATTTTAAATACATGGTTATCGAAAGTACATTATCCTCAAATATGCTCTAGATGCTCTGGACTTTTATATTGGAGCAACGTGCACTGGGGGGGGGGACTCAAGGTTGATCAACAATAACATTGGTGTTTACATGAGGATGCATGATTATCAAAAACGTAATGATAGAAGTTTCAGTAATGAAACAAACCAACCATAGGAATAACACATACCTGCTGAGAGAGTTGTGGTCAGGCAATGATAGTCACCGTATGTGTTAAGACATGTGCCATCTCCACATGGGTTTGTCCAATTTCCGCTATTATCATCTGTACATTCGTCTACATCTGTATACAAAAGAGAAATGATTATTAAAACACATCAAAAATGATGCATGTACATACATAAACATACATGATATGGTTTTACATTTCAGGAATTATTAAACACATAGAAATGACGTACATGCATGTTTTTACATTAAGGAAATACATCCCTAGAAATTATAATTGTATGAATCACATTGCTTTGCAGTTATCTCACCTAGACATTCGTGCTTGTCCGGAGACAAAACCCATGCGCTTGAGCTGTAACACGAGCACG